CATGTATGGCCAGAGAAGGCGATCAAACGCCTTCTCTGCGTCCAGCGAGAGCATTACCGCCGGGATATTCCGATTTTGGGTGTACCAAATTGTGTTGAAGGCTCTTCTGGTGTTATCCGAAGCCTGCCGTTTTGGAATGAAGCCCACCTGGTCGGGATGTATCAGCTGGGGGAGGCAAGTGTTGAGACGTATGGCCAACGCCTTTGTAAGAATTTTCAGGTCTATGTTCAACAATGATATGGGCCGGTAGTGGCCTGGTTCTAGCTGGTCTTTGCCTGGTTTAGGCAGGAGGCAGATGTCAGCGGTAAGCATGTCCGGGGGGAGGCGTTGACCCTGAAGTATGGAGTTGAAAGTTTTGCTCAGGTGTGGGATGAGTGTGGCCTGGAATGTTTTATAGTAAAGTGCGGTAAAGCCGTCCGGGCCTGGGCTTTTCATTGGTTTCAGCGTTTTGAGGACCTGGGCAAGTTCTTCTCCCTCCATGGGTGCTTCCAGCAGTGCCTGTGCCTGGGTGGATAGGGTGGGCAGGTTGAGCGGTCGCAGAAAAGATGAGATTCTTTCTCTTTGGGACTCGTCCCCTGTTGGACCAGAGGGATCGGCATGGTCGTATAGTTTTGTGTAATATTGTAGGAATTCTTGAGCTATCCTGTCTGGGTTTTTCGTGATCTCTCCAGTGCTGGTTCTGATTTTGGAGATTCTTTTGTTGTCCTGCCGTTTTTTGAGGCAGTTTGCCAGGAGGGCGTCTGCTTTGTTTCCTTTTTCATAGAAGCGCTGCTTGGTCCACATGAGGTTTCGTGCCACGTCTGCTGAGGACAGCCGCCGGAGGTGCTCTCGTAACTCTGTGAGCTCCTTTAGCACAGTGTCGGAGGGGTGTCGTTTGTGCAGTGTCTCAAGCTTAGTTAGTTTGGCCAGTGCTTCTGTGAGGTCCCGGAGGCGTCGTTTTTTGTGGGCCGTGGCAATTGCTATCAAGTGGCCTCGGATTGTCGCTTTATGCGCTGCCCAAACTGTCGTCGGGGCCATGTCCTCTGTGGCGTTTAACTCGAAATAGGTTTGGAGATGACCAGTGATGGTCTGTACTGTTTCTTTGTCCCGGAGAATCCACGGATTGAGTCGCCATCGCCATGGGCGAGATAGTCGTGGGATTTGAAGGTCCAGTGTGATCTCCGCATGGTCCGACCATGTTATGTTGCCAATTTGTGAGTGAGTGGTCCAGGGCTGGGTCGTTTGTGTTACCAGAAAACAATCTATCCGCGAGTATGACCGATGTGTATGGGAGTAGAAGGTGAAGTCCCTGTCCGCTGGATGGTGGGCCCTCCAGATGTCCAGTAGCATGGTCTCGTTGAGGAAGCTGGCATATAGTTTATCGTTCCTCGTTGGGGCCGGCGTTGTATCATTTTGCGCTCGTCGGTCTATGGCGGGTGCGTGTGTCGCGTTCATGTCCCCGCCCACGATTAGGTATTTGGCTGTGATGCTGCCGAGATGGGCCTTAAAGGTGCTCCAGAAGGTGGGGTCTGGTGTGGCCGGTGCATAGAGGCTGCATACCGCGAACGAGGCCATGCCTATGTTTCCCGTGAGGAACAGGTATCTCCCGTTGGGGTCTGTTAGCGTGTGAATGTCTTCTAGAGGGCAGGAGTTACGTAACAGGATTGCCACCCCTTTTTTCTTCGGGTCCGGTGAGTTAGCTAAGAAGTATCTTTTGAAGCGTCTATTGGTTAGGGGGAAGCATTTCTGGTCCGTGAAGTGGGTTTCCTGGAGTAGGATTATGTCTGCGCCTGTGCGATTAGCCCATCTTAACATCCCGTGTCTCTTGCCTGGGGAGTGCAGCCCCTTCACGTTGAGGGACGTGAGGCGAATCTTCGTGGAAGGTGGTGCCATTGTGATGTTGGGGGGTCGGCGTGTGGGGGTGGGTGGTTTGGCAGTGAGGGAGGGCAGAGGGTTGGGGGACCCCGAGCGCGCGGGCGTGGCGGGCCGGGGACTGTCGCTGTGAGTGGGGTGGGGATTGACTGGGCTTATCAATCTGGCCAGTCGTCTGGTTGGCGGGAGGGCACGCTCTCCAATCCGCGCAATGGGATTAGAAGGTGCAAGTCCTGTGGGAGGGTTTTTGGCAAGTCGTGGCAGCGCCTGCCTTCGGCCTGCCTGGTTTGGAGCTGTGTTGGCTGAGCTCTGAATGAGGGCTGGGTGGGGGGTGTGGGAGGTGCGTGGGTCCATGGCAACCGTGACTGCCCTGTATGGTAGGGTGTGAGGCCCCTTGCCGGTTGGGGAGGGAGAAGAAGGAGAAGAAAAAAAAAAAAAGGGAAAATCCCCATACCGTGGTGGGTAGCCCAGCCTTGCGACCTGCACTGCTGTATCTGTCATCCTTTCCACCGTAAGTGGCAGTGCGGTGAGTCTTTGCCCGTGGTGGGGTATTATGAGGGGCAGCCCGGTGCCTGGTATCTTCCTGCATTTAGAGCTTTGTGGGGCGGGGGGAGCATGGGCAGGGGGGAGAAAGGAAGGACCTCCGGCTAAGATCGACGGCCCACAACCCTTCTCCTACTATTGGAAGGTGTTGTCGCCTCGTGTGGTGGCGCTGAGTCTAGAGGTCGGGTGGTGGTAACTCTTCAACATTGTGTAACATAGTTATAACATCATCAATCCAGCATCAATACATATCAATTCGTAACTTTGGTAATATAAACAGAGAGCTTAGTTATCCTAGTATTAGGCCTTGTAACATACATGGGCAACCATCCTTTCACCTGGTGTGTTGTGTGGTGTCCTGCGTGTGCTGCGTGGTGTTGGGTGTTACTGCTGTGCCTGGAGCGTGGTGTCCATCTGACTCCGCATTGCTTGGGTCTGTGCGTCTTAGTCGTCAGTGGTCTGCTGCTGTTCGGGTTGTTGCTGTGTGGTTCCCTGTTTTTCCCCCCCTTGCAACCTTATTGGTGTCTAGGCTAAGATTGCCTATCAGCCTACTTGTGTGTTAGGCTTGACGATCGTGTCTAGGGTGATGCGTCAGCTGTGCCCCCTCGGTTGATATGTCGCCCACCCGTGTCATTCCTGTGGTCATTTGGTGGCGGCCTATGCCCCGTCTTGCAGGTGGCCGTATTTGGGGAGGGTCTGGGCTCTACAAGTGTGTGACATCTGTTATGTTACCACCTGGGTCCAGCATTGTCCTATCGTGGCCTCTCCGGTAGGGGGACAGGGGGCCCGCGAGGTGTTCTGGTTGGGCCTGAGTCGTGGCTGTGAGGTCCACTAGTGGCTGGTGGACGTCGTGGCGCCCCTGACTTGGGTGCTCCTGGTACCTCAACGAGTGTCTCCGCCTGGCGGGTGTGGGGTGGGGGTGTAGTGGGCATTGAGGTGGCCGACCCGCTGGTCCCTAGGTGATGCTGTCCGGGTGGGTCCTAGCGTGTGTCTCCGGCTGTCCTGGGGGTAGGGAGGCCGGGTCCGTCCCTTACAGGTGGCGTTTCAGGACCTTCTAGTGGCTCTGATCTGTGGTCCCCCTGAGTGTATGTGTGTGGGTTCCGCGTGTGGGGCTGGGTGGGTGCGTGTCCGATCAGCTTGTGTCTGGGCTGGGCCCCCCGCCATGAGTTCTGTGGGCTGCGTAGCGTAGTAGGGCAAGGGGGCCTATGCTCCACGGTCCTAAGAGTAGTGGGTTGTAGAGGCTCGTCCGGACATGTCTGACTGGTTGGGATCCCGGGGGAAGGTCTGTCCGTCCCGGGGGCCAATGGGCTCCCTGCAGGGGGATCTCTCAGCTTCCCTGTGGCTCATCTTAGGGTCCCGTGGTGCCCAGGGCCTGGCCACGCTCTGGTGCTGTGGCTTCGGCCTTCCAACCCAGAGCACAGGTCCGTCTGGCGCGGCTGGTGGCGTATAGAGGCACCTGTCTGTGCGTGTATACGGGGGGCTGGGTTTCCCAGGTTCCGAGTCCCGTCTATTGTGTTTTGTGGCGGTGGACCTGGTGTGTGAGTCCATGTCTCTTAGTGCATGTATGGTCCTGTCCGACGGGTGTGTCCTGTCCCCTGTATGCTCGTCTACCCCCCCTCTGTCTATCTGCCCTTCCCCCCGTCCCCCCCTTCCCCCCGTGCGGTCCCCCCTGTCCCCCCCTCAGAGAGTTAGTTTGCTGCTGGTGGCGTCTAGCACTCAAGTGTGTCTGCCCTGTAATACTTGCGGCCCAGAGTCCAGTGTCCATCCATAAATGATCTGTCCATCATGATGCCTGATTGTCTTTAGCCGGTGGGGCTCCAGGGGGCTGGGAGTGCGCATGCTGAGTGCAGTCTCTGTCGTTGTGGCGGTGCCTGTGTCCGTAGGGTGATCACTGCCGGTGGCTCTCTTGTGCAGATAAGCGCGTAGTGCGGGGTCGTTCTGTGGCCTAGATAGGTGTATGGTACATGTCCTGGTGTCCGGTTGGTGCTCCTGCTGTGCCGGCGGCTTGGGTCCTAGTTGCGTGCGGCATCGGGCCTCTGCAGCTCTGTATGACTATGCAGACCGTCCCTGCGGCTATGCGGTAAGTTGCGGCTGGTTGCTGGTGCTGGTGCTGGTGCTGGGAGGGCTGAGGCCGGGTGGAGAGGTTCTGGGAGTTGTGGCAGACCCAAGAGATCCAGGAAGGCTGGGACTTCCTCGGCGCGTGAAATGGCGTGGAACCTTCCCTCCCTGCGGACAATAAGCTTGAATGGGTGGCCCCAAGCATACCTGAGGCCTTGCTGGGTTAGGTGGTGCGTGAGGGGGCGCAGGTCCCGTCGTCTTTTCAGGGTGGTCGGCGCCAGGTCCTGATATAGCTGGACCTGGACGCCTTCCACCTCTATGGGGGTCTCTCTGGCAGCTCTCATGATGCGCTCCTTTACATGGAAGAAATGTAGCCGCACGATCACGTCTCTTGGGGTGGTTGCGATGTTGCTAGGGGCCCTCAGCGCCCTGTGTGCGCGATCCATTAGCAGGTCCGCATTGGAGGCTTCAGGCAGGAGGTTCCGGAATGCTTCGGTGAGGGTGTCAGTCAGGAGCTCGGTGGAAACTGTCTCCGGTATGCCTCTCACCCTTATGTTATTTCTTCTGCTTCTATTGTTGAGGTCTTCGTTAGATTCTTCCAGGGAGCGCAGCTGTTCACGGAGTGCCTGCAGCTCCCCGCCATGCGCCTGCACAGTCTCCATAGCCTCCGCCATTTTGGTTTCCGTGGCTTGTGTGCGGGCTGACAGGTCCGCCATTCCCTCCATGATCGGGCCCAGCTTCTTGTCCAGCTCCTCCGCGACCGATTTCCGGATGTCAGCAAGGAACCCCTTCATGTCCCGCCGGGTTAGTGGAGCCTCTGCCCGGTCCGAGGCTGCCTGGCTGCTCATTTCTGAGTCGGAGTCTGATGGGGAGTGCTCTAAAGATGGCGCCTGGGCCTTCTCGGCCTTTTGCCGGAAGATCGGTGCGACCGCGGAGTTGCGTGCTTTTCTGCTGCCTCCCATTTGGGGGTGAGGGGCTGTGGTAAGGTGGGCGACAGGGGACGTTAGGGGGGGTGTGGGGGCTCAGGTGCGCTCGATGGCGTTAGATTACGGCGAGGCCTCGGCGGAGCTCGGGGATTAAGCCGCCATTTTCTTGCTCGGCCAGGCTCCGCCTCAAGCCAACCATTTCTAATATCCCGCATTCTGTGTATTCTGTACCTAATTACATATGTTGTCAAATATATAGATTCCTTTCCTTGCATTATCTATTTTTACTGTTTTGCTTGATAAGTGGAATCTTGTGTGTTTTGGAGGAAAAACTTAATGTAAACTTGTTTCAATATCTAGGCCTTGGGTTAATGATTTAAACCATCCTTCCAGGCATATTTCCTTGAACCATACATTTGTCAGGCGATTTCTTCCGTTTCTTTACTTTGCTTTATAGACCCTAACGCTCTATAAGTCCAAAGTCCTATCTAATGCACTAAATCCTAACCAGTTCGCAATGGAAACAATATTTTATTTAATGCTGGTCAATTATCTAAGCACCAACGTGAAATTCTTCACTACTTATTTCCACCCAATTTATTTATTTTTTTAAAAAATATTTTTATTGTTGCCTTGTCATAGACTCGTATACCAAACACATGTTCGTTAAAGCGGGTAGTTGCCTACGCAGAGACTCGAGTATCAGTACATGACAAGAGATGCAATTTATCGCCTGCGCAGAGGCAAGTATATTGGACCGTTTAAATGTTTATAAACTTTACGAGCTTTTATATGCTTAGGCTTAAAACAAATATATGGCGGTTGTATTCTGACTCTATGTTCCAACATTCATAACAATATGAAGTGCAGTTAATGGCATGTGTCTGGCTAATTGCTCGGTCTCGGTTACTGATGCGGGTTTTCCTTTCATGAACAGGTACCATGACTAAAGTATGGTTATGAACTAAATCTTAACCGGAGTACATTTGCTGTTGCATTAACGTGTCTAACTTAAGTAAGGCAGATAACTGTTTAGGTTAATCCTTAACGAACCCTTAAAGAAATGCAGTGTTGCTATAAGAAGGCATTTGGAGGCAGTGTTGTTTAATTAAACTATCTAAGAGAATAAAAAAGAAAAAAGCGAGGGTTTTCATAATGCTTGCTGCTATTCTGAGAAAGGTTATGTATGCAATAATTTACGCCCCTAGACTGTAGGTCATATAGGTACTGCAGCATAAACAGCGTTTCCATGGCTAATACAATATATTAAGTAAGCATCATAAGGCTGTGATAGGTCATAGCCGTTTGTCTCTTAACTGCGTCTACTGAATTATGGCATAGGCCTGCAACAACAATGAATGCAAAAGAAATAAAAATTAATTGTAAGAACTATAACATTATGAGAGCTAGGCTGGTAGTAATATGCAATATAAGTGAAGGGATGCATAAACAGGCAATTGCAATTTCAAAGGAGATGTTCATCACATAATGTGCAATCTGATGTAGACAGTGGTTAGTTATGCAATGCAGGTAAATGAAGGAAAACAAGGTATTTATAACCTAAACCTAGGTTGCAAACGTGTTATAGTGCAGTTGCTGCTAACAGTGATGGGAAACATAAAAGTGAGTCACTTCGTGGGGAGTAGGAACATGCTGCGCTGTGTCGTTGCACATAATAGATTAAGGAGAGCAGTGTCGATTGCATTGTAAGAGAGCTGCCTCCATGGTTGCCTCCATAGGCCTCCAAGCATGCCTGTCCTCCATCAGTCCTCCCCGGGTCTGACCCATCCCACCGGTATAGCGTTCTGTGGTGCCGTGGGCACTCAAAGTCCAAATCCATCCCCCGGACCCCCACACCAAGAGTCCAGGTTCCGACCATCTCCTGCACCTCCCCAGCACCACTTCAGCCTCTGTGAAGCACTTAGACCCTCATGTCTCACCTGGTGCCGGCCACATACTTAGGACTGGGGCACCTCCCTCACGGCCACTGGTACACCGGAAAGGTCTGTGCATTCCCGTCCCACATGACTCACTGCGGCATGGACAATCTCCCCCGGGTTCCCCCCCGAAACCCAAAGGCAGGGACTGGTACTTCTCCAAGGGGCAGGCTGCCCAGGGTATCCCTCTGCAGGGCAGCAGCTGTTGGGGCCATCGAACCAATGTGAGGAAGCCGCTCTATGAAGAGGAGTCTCCCCTTACATGCTAGCATTGCCATACAGCAATTAATTTTTGTAGCTGTTCCATTTATAAGGTGGGAGGCCGCCGGCAGGGCAACACTCCCGACCCCTTCTGATCCCCCAGGGTGTTGTTGAAGCAGGGACTCATGTGCACCTGGTAATGCTGCCTCCTGTGCGTCTGCTTCGCGGTTCGTTTGGTTTGTATGTGCCTGTGTCTCGTCGCACCTCCGGCCTGCGGGTCTCCACAACTAGGCCCGGGTGCATGTCTCACCGCGGTGTGCCGCGATCCACCAGAAACCGGCTTTGCCCGACATCCGGCGGGTTCCTCCTCGTACACCTCACATTTTCCCGGGTTCTGTTGGGCATTGGAGGTAAGAAAAATGCCTTTTTTAGCGGCACGATGCAGGAGCTAGCGAAGATGGCTGCCGCTCGGCGGCCCGGCCCGGCACCCCTATTTTTATTTTATTTTATTTTTTTGCACATGCCAGATTTGTATTATATATATTTTCGTGGTATTAACAAAAAAAAAAACCTGACTGTGAGGTTAATTTTCAAATTGGTGTCAGCTGCCAGTTTTCATAAGAAAACATCATTCTGTAAACTCTGTTTTCAATAGATGAGTTGGGAACAAAACTGACTCTACTGGATTGTTCTAATTGTTTGACACTTTATTGTATGTTTAAAGGAAGACTTTCTCGGCTGGCTATCTGCTGATTCAAAGAATAAAGCCAAAGCAACCGGTTATTTTAAAAGAATATAATCTGCTTAAATAAATAAATCAGCAGAATAAGTTTAACCATTTCAGACCCAGGCGCGGTCATGTTCTTAGTCACCATTTTATAAAATCATTTTAAAAATCCATTGCACAAAACTGCACTTTCCAAAATGCACAACCGGAGCATTGTATATTAAAGGCGCACTATAGTGCCAGGAAAACAAACTTGTTTTAGGCACTATAGGCTCTTCCGTCCCGATGGGTTGAAGGGGTTAAAACCCCTTCAGCCACTTACCTTAATCCAGCGCTCCTTTGTCGCTGGTGACCTCTCCTCCCCCTGCTGACGTCAGCTCCCAAGTGGAGCCGAATGTGCATGTGCGGCCAGAGCCGCGTGCGCATTTAAACCGCCCATAGGAAAGCATTACTCAATGCTTTCCTAGGGACGTCTAGCGTGAGTTCAATGCGATTTTCACAGTGAGAAGCGCATCTATCGGCTGTCAGGGAGACAGCAACTAGAAGCTGGATTAACCCCTAATGTAAACATAGCAGTATCTCTGAAACGGATATATTTTCAGCTGCAGGGTTAAAACTAGCTGGACTTGGCACCCAGACCACTTCATTGAGCTGAAGTGGTCTGGGTGCCTATAGTGGTCCTTTAACCCATTTCCTTTTTAAAACAGCTGAATTTTTATTATTACTATCATTTTTTAATTTCAAGTGTGTTCGTAGGATCCAATTATATAGCAAAATATTATTCTTTGGGATTGGTTGATTGTTTAGCTGTTGTTCTGGTTTTTATGATAAGACATAACCTGTCCCTTTAACTATCATGTCAGGGGTTTTAATTATCTGTGCTGCTATTTTGGTCACGTACTATAGTCAGTACCTCATGTCCCTTCAGTTACATTCTGCGCACCATGTTTTATAAAAAAGACTTTTAGGGAATTCTTGTAACAAACAAACAAAAAAAAAGGATTAAATTAACTTTCACTTCCCAGGACTTTTATTATTATGTTTACTTATCCCCTATTTTGAACCAATATGATTGTGAGGTCTGACAAAATAAAATTATATGAAGAAATCCACACTGCTCTATACTGGAACATATCGCCTCCAGCTTAGCTACCCGTCAGTCATTGTTATAAGCTCTGTCCTTTGCGCCTCGCTGTCATTATAGAAAAAAACCCTCACTGACGAGGCCCAACAAGGCTGAAATGAACATTTGGGGTTGCTGTATCTTTTGTGCAGAGAGAGCTGGCATTTCGGATCTGGACTGCCCCTTTTGGATTGGATCAGTCTGATATGCAAAGGGCCCTGGTTCTTTTTGTAATGGCACAAGATGAGCTAAAACCAGCTTGAGATCTGAGCGGGGACCCACGAAAGAGCAGTCTACTAGTTTTTTTTACTACATGTACAAGTTTTTTTTGTTTTTATAAAACTGCTACTCCAACCTTTATTCATTGGCACATTTTTTCACCTTATATAAGAAAACCAATAGAAGTGTGATCTAGAAAAAGAGATAAAATATTGCCATAAAATAAAAGTGCTGGAAGATGCACATACAGGTAAGTGATGGTGCAAACAAAGGAATTATTAGGCATACTTGGGAAATATGGGGGGGAATGGGGGAAGCAGTTTACTAGTTTTTATACATTACCCCCAATATTTTTGTTCTAAACGTAAAATACAAAGTATGCTGTACCTGTGCCTCGACTGAACTGGACTGTGATGTAAATTGCAAAAATCTTAACATTTAAAAGAAAACAGGGCATCGCAGGAAGAAAGAAAAAAAGGTTTTAGGTTCTTTTCAATGTTTTATTAAATGGTGTAATTTCCAAAGCAGTGATGGTTCCCCTTTCAGTCTGGCTGGTGGAAGATCCCCATTTGCAGGTGAAGTCCAGAACCATTTGGTTTGCATGGGACAAACATTGACCATCTGACCAATCATCCTTTCAAGTCTACAGTTATGAAGGAAACAGACGTTGGGAAAAAAGGGTTGAAGTAACCATTATCTCCTTCCTTAAATGGTTAATTCAACCATTTTTTTTCAACGTCAGATTCCTTCGGAAAACGCTCTATTGGGCGCTATTCACTAGGTCCCCGCCCCCTTATATTTGCAGTAAAAAACGCAGAAAAAAAGATTTTTACCTACCTGAAATCTAGCTCCGGGTGAAACTCCCAGCACGGTGTTCCAGTCCTCCACCAAACGTCAACAAGGGCCTCACAAGGACCAATCTTTTTGCACAGTTCTGCCAGCTCATAGGGCTAAGAGCTCTTAGATGGTGATGGGAGGGAGTGGGAGAGAGATAGTGTGATAATTATAATTTGAAAAACACAACCTCCGGTATAGGTAGGCTGGAGGGCTGTACATAATGAAGGAGGCAGGCAGAGAGACAAATGCTTCCCATTGCAGTCTTTGCAATGTGTGTGACGACAGAATTAACAGCAGGCAGCAATATTTGGATGAGCTGCTGGGGATTCTAGTTTAGCACAAAAACATTTAAAACAGTTTGCCATTGAATGCAAGTACAGCACCAGGCAACCCCAGGCACTATAACCACTTCAGTTATCTGAAGCAGTTACATTGCATATAGTTCCCTTTAACTACCCTCTTGTTTAGCTCAACAACCTCAGTTTATATGTTCATCAAGGCAGCAGTTCTGTCTGTTATTTTGGAATGGGAGTTTTATTAACAGAGTGGCTACGAGTGAAAATCATTAGGTTTAAAAGGCTATATTTGATGGGGGGCGTGGCTAGCAGAGCAGCACACAAGACGTGTTTATGTGGAGCTCCTGCTTCACTAATCTAAAATTGATCCAAAAGCCACGAATATACCAAACTGAGACTCCAAAAACCGAGCAACAGCAAGTATTAGACCCCCCTACAGAGAGATGGGGAAGAAAAACAAGAGAATCGCCCGCCTAGAAAGCTCACACCAACCTGACATTAGGCGATCCTTTGAGAAGCCACAGCAGGCTCCACAGGCCAAGATGGCGCCGAGTAGGCCCCGAAACGCCAGCGAGTCCGACTCGTCTATGGAGGAGGAGAACTCCCAGAACGCGACCCCGGCCGCCACATTATACAGGTCGGAGACATCTGACTCTGATGACTCGCCTTCCACAAAGGGCGACATAAAAAAGCTCCTCCTAGACCTCCGGGAAATGTGGAGGTCGGACCTGGCCGGTGTGAGGACGGAAGTGGCAGACATGAAGGGGCGCCTGGAGGCAGTGGAAACCCGAGAAGGCCAAAGAGACGCCTTACTGACTGACTCCAGAAAGCAAACGGATGCACTGACACTCCAACTCCAAAGACTCACTCGCACAGTCACGGAGATGGAGACGCGCCACCGCAGAAGAAATGTCCGCATACGCGGAGCCCCGGAGGACATTAACCCAGAAACCTTATTGGCCTACGCAAACAAAGTGGCCATGGTGATGGGTGCAAAAAAGGAGGGAGACACATGGCCGATTACAACAGCGTTCCGAATTCGGAAAGCTCCGACCGCCCCAGCGGACGCACCGAGAGACATCATAGCCGTTACCCAAGACGTCACGGTTAAAGCGGCACTGATGGCCTCCTCCAGGAAGACCCCCACCGTAGCCGTGGACAACCACCACGTGCAAGTTTTCGCTGATATCCCATTCACAACCCTGATGGAGCGGAGAAAATTTATGGCAATCACCCGCCAACTGAGAGACAAGGGTATCAGATACCGGTGGGGAGCAGCAGGCACACTAGTGGTCCCACAAAAGGACTCAATCCTCACACTGTCTGCGGATGAAAACCCGGCAGGATTCCTCCAGGCCCTCCAGCTGCAGCTGCAAGCACCCACGGACGGGGTGGGCGAGACCGAGAATTGGGAGTCTGAGAACCGAGAGAGCAACACCAGGGCGGAGAGGAAGAGGAGCAAACAGCACCCACACAATACCCTACAGACCTGAACAAGCAAAAGGTTAACCCACGATAATCACCAGATGTGATGAGATGGTAAAGCAGAATGGCAGAGTGACCGTGAAGGCCGGGTGGCCCGAGCTCCTGAAATCTCCTCTGCAATGCCACGTGTGCAAGCAGCCGCACTCGACCATTCCTCAACTGAAAGAACATCTGAGGAAGCACTGGACACAATAGCCATGCAAACTCAAGGCTTGTAGGACACTCAGAGACTCGGTTATTTAGCAAAGGTTTGTTTCATCAGTTTTTAGGTTGTTGTCCAGTTATTGTCCCACTATCAAAAGAAAAATGTTTCTCTTAATGTACTAGTGGGTATTAAATTCCTATGAAGGAGTCCTGTCACATATTGGTAGGAACAAAACACGTCACATTAGAAAGCTAACTACTATATGTCTTTGTTATTTTCTGTTTTTTTTTTTCTATAAAAATGACGTATAAAGATGCCGAGAACAGTAGTAAACAGTATTAAACTGATGTATAAAGATGCCGAGAACAGTATTGAATGTTGTACAACATGTAATAATTGCAAGCGGAAACGATCTCGAGCTATTAGACGCTATGTACAGGATGTAAACTCTTAAAATCGAAATATCGTGAACAGTACTTGATGTGCATACTTGACCCTACCCTCTTTCATTCTATACCCCAAGTGTGATTTTAAAATATTCCATAACTCAGTGATTTTACATTATTCATCATAGCTATTTTCTATAATGCTATATTAACTCATAAAAATGTGCAATGTTAGTAAGCCATATGAATGTTTCTCTATGTCTACTATAAAGCCTGCACCAGCTGTTGTGGCAATGCAAGCATACCTGTATATTCTATGCACAACCAAAATAAAGAATTAAAAAAAAAAAAAAGGCTATCTTTATCGTACAATAGCTGTACCCTAGGATACATTGCAAAATTCACTCATAGTTTGATTTGTACCAGACAACTTACACACCAGTTCTAAAACACTACGGAGTGCTTCAGCAGTATCATGACTCTGTCCGTCCAAGCCTGCCACTGCTGCACTTTGCTAAACAAAATACTAAAGTTACTACCTTTGTTCCACAATATGTAAAATTTGGTAAAAGTAGCTTCCTACTTGACACAGCTGCCTTTAGGTGTTGCTAGGAAATTATAAATAAAATCCTGTTCCTTACACGATCTCCATTTATGATTTGCTACCATATCAAATTTGTTCTCTGACCCTCGTGAGCCCAGAGGACACCCTTTAAAAAGAGTTCAGAGGTATCTCCTTTAAAAAGAAAAGTGGTTGTCACTAATTTCTAGTGAGCCATTTGGCAAACTAGATCATTAGAGGTGAGTTATTATCCATGATAAACAAGTATCTTACCTTTATTTGTTAAACCAAGCTGTCCATTAATTCTCTGCACAGAGTACATCCGCAATGGTTTAATGACTTACTAAACTGAGAATTGTCAGGAATTCAGATTTCAGACCTAAATAGTCAAATTGGGAGCATAGCTGGCTTGGAGAATTTTCCAGTTCAGCTACTCTGGCCTTAAATTTTTATATTCACTTTGAATTCCCCCAAATTGTCATTTTACTAAATAACCAGGTGTGTGAATTTCATATCCAGGCCAAGCTGGAGGCATAAATGTCACAGTTAAGTTGATAGCTGTCAGGAATTCAAATTGACTTCCTAATCTTAGGCCAAATTGGACAAACAGCTGAATTGAAGATTTCCCCCCACCCCCAATTCAGCCATTTTGTTCTTTACTTTCTGATACTTTCTTGTAGTACAAGTTGAATTCTCATCAATTTACACTTTAGTAAATAACCCTGACACTTTGAGATTTTTTGCGATTAGAAATTCACTTTCCGTTCCAGACCATCTCACTAAATCTGAAATTGTTAGGCCTTCAAATGTGAGTATATACTTTGGCCTAAAAATGTTAAATCCACTTTAAATGCATGTCAGTTCACACTTGAATGAACAACCCTGTATCTAACATTTATTGCAGCATCATTGCCTAAATGGTGACACCTTCAGAGGAGGAGGAGGGGATCCTTTGAGCCAGTTTGCAGCAAATAAATAAAAAATGTGCTAATTCACAAATTTATATCAACTTTCAATTTGCCTCTATTTTGCCCCAATTGGAGGCCCCAAAATGGAAGCACCTGAATAGCTTCAGGAATAGATTTATTGGCACAATTAACCAACTGAACAATTTTATATATTTATTACTGGCATTTATAAAAGCACCCACATATTCCGCAGCGCTGTACGATTAGGGGAAAATGTACAATATACGCAGACAAATTAAAAAAAGGTAATTAACGAGTTATAAACAGAGGTCCGTGACCGTCCGTCCCACCGCTACTGTTCACCATGGGTGATACCAAGAAGATATAATTACTAAATAAATTAATTAGAAAGTACCCAGGAGTAGGTGAGGCCATTCTAATATCTCACCCCTTATCAGGACCCCCAATATGTTTCTATTTTCTCCCCTGACACATGGGGAGCTGCCCCAGATTGGCTTCCCCCTTAAATTAAAATGTACCCAGGAGTAGGTGGGGCCATTCTTATATCTCACCCTCTTTATCAAGCACCCCCAGTTTTATTTTTTTGGGGTTCCCCTGACACATGGTGAACTCCCCCATATTGCCTTCTCCCTTAAATTAAAATGTACCCAGGAGTAGGTGGGGCCATTCTCATATCTCACCCCCTTTATCAAGCTCCCCCAGATTTTTTATTTATTTTTGGGGGGGGGGGAGTTCCCCTGACACATGGTGAGCTCCCCCAGATTTATTTATTTTTTGGGTGGGTTCCCCTGACACATGGTGAGCTCCCCCAGAATTATTTATTTTTTTGGGTGGGTTCCCCTGACACATGGTGAGCTCCCCCAAATGTATTTATTTTTTTGGGTGAGCTCCCCCAGATTGATTTATTTAGGGGGTTCCCCTGACACATGGTAAGCTCCCCCATATTGCCTCCCCAGTCTGCCCTGTCTCTGCGCACAGCCCTTAGTGACAGCACGCAGCACAACACAGTGCAGGCCTGGACAATGCGGCCGCGGAGCATGCCGGGACGTGTAGTCCCGTCAGGCACTCCGTAGCATTAACTTCCTGCGTGCTCTGCCTACACATCCCGGCGTGCCCCGCGCTGATGTCCCGGATGTCTATCGCGCCGGAAGAGAAGACGGCCTCTTTCCCAGCCATCTTTGGGTTTACTAGCAGCGAGCTTAGCGCTCCGGCCTCGCACAATCCGAGGAACATCCACCGCTGGAGGGGCCATCATGCCCGGGCACCTGCAGGAAGGCTTCGGCTGCGTGGTCACCAACCGGTTCGACCAGCTATTTGACGATGAATCCGACCCGTTCGAGGTCTTGAAGGCGGCCGAGAACAAGAAGAAGGAGGGCACCGCGGGCCCCGGCCAGGGATCAGGCAAGACCGCGGCTCAGGCCGCCAAGCAGCTCCGCAAGGAGTCCCAGAAGGAGCGCAAGAACCCGCTGCCCGAGAAGAAGGAGGACACCCCGCCGCCCGTGGCGCTCAAGAAGGAGGGTGAGCGGGGGAGGGCTGGGAGCGGGGGGCCCGGCGAGGGGGGAGGACAGCCGAGGCCCGGGGATACAGACACACACCCCCGGTACCGGGAGACACGGGGGGGCTCCCCCACACCCCGATACACGCGGGTCTGACAGGGGCCCATACTGAGAGCCGGGTGTGCTGGGGGGGGTGTTCCCGGGCTGCCCTGCCGGGTGAGGTGACCGCTGACAGGGAGGTTCGGCCTCGCACGTGGTCCTGTCACCGGGGAGAGGCTGTGGCGGGAGATCTGCCGCCGACCACGTGCTGACAGGAGGGGGAGGGGCCGGGGGCTGTCACAACACGCGCACACGGCCCTCACCCCTAAACCGGGCACTGGGGGTCCCCTAACCGGTATATAGGGGTAAAGGGGGGCCCTCACCCCTAAACCAGGCACTGGGGGTCCCCTAACCGGTATATAGGGGTAACGGGGGGCCCTCACCCCTAAACCAGGCACTGGGTGTCCTCTAACCGGTATATAGGGGTAACGGGGGGCCCTCACCCCTAAACCAGGCACTGGGGGTCCCCTAACCGGTATATAGGGGTAACGGGGGGCCCTAAACCAGGCACTGGGTGTCCTCTAACCGGTGTATAGGGGTAACGGGGGGCCCTCACCCCTAAACCAGGCACTGGGGGTCCTCTAACCGGTATATAGGGGTAACGGGGGGGGCCCTCACCCTTAAACAGGGCCCTGGGGGGTTCTCTAACAGGTATATAGGGGTTACGGGAGGACCTTACCCCTAAACCATGCACTGGGGGGGTCTTCTAACCTGTATATAGGGGTAACGGGGGCCCTAAACCGGGCACTGGGGGTCCCCTAACCGATATATAGGGATAACGGGGGCCCTCACCCCTAAACTGGGCACTGGGGGTCCCCTAACCGGTATATAGGGGTAACAGTGGAGGGGGTATTCAATCCCCAGGAGAACGTTGGGGAGCGCTAGGTATCCCCGCGAATAGCTGGCTCTAGGCTCTCAGTAAGTTCTGCTTTCTGTTTAGACAATTTTGGCCTAAAAACAACCCCTCCCCCAGTTACTGTGGCAGGTCTCCCCACCTCACATGGTGGTACTGTGCCAAGCTGGACACTGACCTCACTGAGGGTGAGATTGTATAGAATCAGTTTAGGATTCTAAGATGGTTATTTACTAATGTGAGAATTCAAAGGGAGTTTAATTTTAAGGTCAAAATAGCCAAACTGACTATGCTCTCAATTTGGCTTCTCTGGCCTTTAATTTGAAATTCTCTATGAATTATCACTCCGTGCTTTATAGAACCTGTAACAGGGCGGACTATACACATTCAAGGTGCATTGGCCTGACATAACTTACAGTTTTTTTTGGGGGGGAGGGGGTTCTTTGAGTATATACCCTCTCATTGTAGTAAGGTCCTCATGTCACCTTGTTATTCATGACATTCATTACATTGTGTCTCCAAAGAGATCACTACTCTCATGGCACAATGTAGGCTGTTCTAAGTGATCCTTATGGGTATGCTGGAGTTTATCACGATATTAACTTTGTTGCCAACATGTATGACAGATTAAGTGAATGTCAGCTGTGTAGTGTAATCCTTTTATGAAGTGTCTCTGCGTTTTCTATTTTGTAATAGAATCCTGACATTTTGGGGTACTCTTGGAATAGATAAAATCGACTAGCATTTAGTCCAGGCACAGGCAGCCTTTTTCACTGCAGATGTTTTGGACTACACCTCCCTTGATCCTTTGCCAGCATTATGTGTGTAAGAGCATTGTGGGGGATGTAGTCCACAATATCTGGAGTGAAAAAGATTGCTATCCCTGATCTAGTTAGTCATTGCATGCTGGTGATCTGTGTGAATCTAGTGCCGCAGGTCAGATCCAAAAACAAGGATTTTATACGCTCTCAAACAGACCTGTCTGTGTTTTCCAGGTCCTTTCGCTAGTCAGGGTGATACAAGAAGTTTTAACAAGTGTGTTTTGTGTGTAAAATAAAAATCTGAAAAGGATATGTTTCAGATGTCAGTAGTCGGCCAGTTCATGTCTTACATTTAATAGCACTCATAGTTAATTAAGTAGACTTGGACCACGTGACAGAACGGTAAAAGTATGTTACTGAACCCTGCATATCAAAAATATTAGAAGTTCTGAATCCTCGGACTTGCTCATCAAATATCTTACCGGTAATTTGTAGAATAACAGCACGTTTCTCGGTGTGAGTTGGTGCTTTGTAACAAGTGGGGAATCTCTTATGCAGTAGGGAAGTCTGTGACGGAACCCCCAGAAAACGCACTTTGCCCTTTAAGAAGATATAAATAGAGCAGATTGTGTGTTCTCATGCGAACATGTGCACAAGACTTTTTAGGGGCTAAATGGCACAAGAGCACTTAATCGTTCCTGAGATAATTGAAATTGCTTTAATACATACATAGACGTAAAACCTGGCTTTACTGGAAAAGCTCGAATAAGCTTACAAACACATTAGCTACACAGCCCAAACCTCCATTGTTGTAAATCTTTACTTTAAAACATTTCTTTACATTCAGAGCGTTTAGTGTCCCTCGATCGTGGCCACTGGCCTGTGTTCACTTGTTACCAGTGTGTTGGTGATTGCTGGGGGCGGGTTCTATTGCTCATTCTACAGTTTTTTTTTTTTCCCAGAGTCAGCTTCTTTTTGTGACCACACCCAGGCATCGTTTTTAAGCAAATAATTGTATGCTGGGGGTGTGATACAGTTATTAGGTTGAGCTGCTGTTTGAGGTTTGGTGTGTGTGTGTGTGTGTGTGTGTGTGTACACGTGTTTAAATTTCTTTTCTCTTCTCCTTCAAATCTCTGCCTAAAGTGGCTACAAGCATTCATTGGCATGGGTAGCAGTAGTTAATCCCCCTTATACTGCACTTTCAGCAGCTGTTGTCAGCTCGTTCAGCAGCAGCAGTAGTAGTAGTAGTACAGAGCCTGCATCTTCTGCTGCTACGCTTAGAGAGGGGGCCAGGATGTGCTGTCACTCAGAACTCCCTGCTAGTCAGTGAAAGGGAGGCAGTGCCAATATAGCCTTAATATTGGAATGCCATCTATAATGTGATTTGGCTGCTGGGCAGATATTCAGAAATCCCATGTGCTAACTATGTGATAGGCAGTCTAACTTGGAAGTTTTTACCTCTTAGGGTTTGATTGGTTATAGTAAAGAAAAAAGGTCCTATTATTTTCTTTTTCAAATCTATAAGTGTCAGTTGGTTACTGTTACACTTGTTATCTAACTTACTAGTACTACTAAATTATAGCATCAAACACCTGTATATGCTGCCCACACAGTGTCTATAGTTAAATTTACATTTTGAAGTAATTATTTTTATTTTTTTTAATAGTGTAATTTGTGGTAAATGGTCACATTGTGTATTTATTTAAAAAAGGTTTATTATGGGATTGGTTAAAACATTGTGAATGTGCATTTTAGATTTTTCTGAACAGAGGTTTTAAAAGCAGAACTGAGCACCAAGATAAAGAATGGTATGTTTTTACAATTGTGTGGAGTACATTAGAATGGGATTACACACTTGCAATACACCCTTTCCCCCCTAGGAGTCAGTCATGCTCCTTGCCCTGCATGTTTACATGTTTCTCTTCAATATCTGCTCAGGTATCAGGAGGGTTGGCAGAAGGCCTGACCAGCAACAACCACAACAGCAGGCACCTCAGCAGCAGCAGGCTCCACAAGCCCCACAGGGTGAAGGGAAGCCCATCGACAGGAGACAGACAGACAGACGGCCTCCCCGTGAACGCCGCTTTGAAAAGCCAGTTGAAGAGAAGGGTGAAGCTGGAGAATTCTCTGTGGATAGGCAAGTCTTATTGCAATTGCTGAATGTTGGTAACATGCTTTTACATTTTCATATTATTAAATCAGCAAGACTAGTAAGGTTTTATATATGTAATAGCTATCTATTCGTATTTGTTTGTTTTTTTTGTTTTTGTTTTTTTGGAATTGTATTAACTGGGCATAGTCCACTCCTAATGTTTTAGGAAGGAAAGTCTCTTTGCACCTCAATTACTACATTTAAAGGGATACTAGAGGCACTCGGACCACGTCATCTCATTGAAGTGGTATGGGTGCAGTGTCCCTGTCACACTTAATCCTGCAATGTAAAACCACTACTAGAGGCACTTACTAGAACGGAGTACAGTGTCAGAAAAACACACAGAAAAGTCAAGGCAATGCTTTTCTATGGGGAAGGCTTAATGCGCCAGTGGTATATCCGAAAACTATAATGTTGTATAGGTGGGGGAATTAATGAGACTGTTTACACCTGCTGGTCTTAAAACCACACATGCATAATACAGCAGTTCAATGATTTCAAGGGCTGTCTAGACTGTCAGCTTGTGGATACACTGCAATGTTGGAGCAAAACCAAGCTAATTATGTCTAAGTAAAACTACTGCAATGATTTATAAAGGTCCCCCCTAGTTTTAACCTTGCAGCTGAAAACATGTTTTAGAGGAACTGCTATGTTTACACTGCAGGGTTAATGCAGTCTCTAGTGGCTTTCTCCTTAACATCCACTAGAGGCCGCTTTCGTGATTTACAGAGTAAATCACACTTATCTGACGCTGGACGTCCTCACGGAGTCCAGCGTCAAGATCCCCATAGGAAAGCATTGAGTAATGCTTTCCTATGGGCGGGTCTGAATGCATGCGCGCCCCTCTGGTTCAACTCAAGAGCTGACGTCGGCGGGGGAGGAGAGGTCACCAGTGCCGAGGTAGCCCGGTGCAGGATTAAGGTAAGTGGCTTCAGTGCCGAGGGAGAGGGCTCTCCAAGAGCCTATAGTGCCAGGAAAACTGGTTTGTTTTTCTGGCACTATAGGATCCCTATAACTTTTTGAAGTAAAGTTATGTTTTACTACTTGCTGGTTCTAGCGAATTTTTTTTATTTTATTTTTTCCCTTCATCTTTTAGCTGTCTCTTCTTACAGAACCTGGCGGGAGTGGTCCTCTAAATGACACATCAGAAAAACTAATCTGCATGTGTTTGGCGTGGCTCTTTAAAAAGACACGCTAGGCACTATTACTAATTTAGCTAATTGAAATGGTTATGGCACAGTGGTTTTGGGTGTGGTCCTGTATTGTGTTGTTTTTTTATTTTTTTTATTTCCTGTTTATTTTTAACAATGAGGTTCTGTCCAGCACCCAAACACAGTCCCTCACCTGCTATTCTGATAATGTTGAATTTTTGGTCCAAAGAGCCGTGAGTGCTGGGTGTGGGGTGCAGTTTTCCTTGCACTTGGAGACCTTCGCTGCTCTCCCTGTTAAGACAGATAAGGCTTAAGTTTCATTCAATTTTTCTGAGAAGGTAAAGATCTTGGCTTTAGGTGCTATGCATTGTTCTCTGTTCAAAAGATTTGACAGAAGCATGGGGTTGGGAGAACCGTTCCATAAACCCTACAGTGAGCTGTAATGGTCATGTTGCTTGGTTTTCCCCCATTTATTATTGATGTAGTGGAACAAATTGTGTCCTACTAAATAGCAAATTGTTTATCTGGTTTCATGTATTTATATTTTCCCATCCATTTCAGACCCATCATTGAAAGACCTGTTCGTGGACGTGGCGGCCCTGGAGGAAGAGGACGTGGTGGACGCGGACGTGGATTGGGCAGAGGAGATGGATTTGACTCCCGTGGCAAACGTGAATTTGACAGACATAGTGGCAGCGACAGAGCGTAAGTTTATGCTCTTCTGTTTTTGTTTTGTTGTTTTTTTTGTTCTGTTTTCCCCAAAACTTCCACACACTGACCATATAACTCATTTTGGTTAGTTCTTCACATTTCAGTGGCCCGAAGCATGAGGATAAGCGTGGTGGCAGTGGACAACACAACTGGGGAAATGTTAAGGATGAACTGAGGTTGGTGAAAATAACCTCGTTATTTTTTTTTATTTTTTTAAAATCCTATCATTTTGTGAAAAACTCAGCATGTCCTAGTGGCAAGTTATTTATTCTAAATGAGATTATTCTGTCTTTATCATTTGCTCGAGTTTCATTGTGACTTTGAAGAGTTTCTATTGTATGCTTGATGTTATGCTGAGGTCTTATAGGGAAATCGTGACACTTAATTAAAATCTGCCACAGTTTCTGTTCTTCTGCAGTTTAAGTAGTTTAAAGGGACATCTTAATGAAGTCGTTTTGATTTTTGCAGTCCATGGATGTAGTCTTACATCAAAGTGTTAAAACCATTTTTGAAAGGTTTCATACTTTGGATGCCTGTCAGCATATCCTGTCTCTTCTGTTGAGCCATCATACTAAGCAGAGAAGGGAATCATTGATCAGCATATTTCTCTCCAATGGTTTAACATCTAAAAGGGATTCTATAGTGCCAGGAAAACAGAGCTGTTTTCCTGGCACTTTAGAATTCTACGCCATCCTCCCTCGCACTCCTTCAGAGACTTATCTGAATCCAGCGCCGATGTCCCTTTTTTTGACGTCGGCGAGGGGACCTAATGTGCATGCGCGGCAACGGCCGCCCTTGCGTTAGGGTTTCCCCGTAGGAAAGCATTATTAATGCAGGGGCGGCCTATGGGGGAAAATGTGATGCTGGAGGTCCTTGTGCAGCGCGTGAAGATGCCCAGCATCAGATAACGGACCAAAGGTCCATTTCAAACCAGGAAGCCCTCTAGTAGACAGCCACTAGAGTTGGTGTTAACCCTGGATTGTAATTGGCAATAATTACTATTGCAGGGTTAAGGGAGGTGGGACAGGTCTGGGTGATTAGTGTCCCTTTAAGCTAAGCCTCATCCAGGTACACCAGCCCTCATTGAAATAAAGTAGTTTTTATGGAAGAGTCCTTTTTAAAGCAGCTCTATTAACTTCCTAATGGTGCAGGATAAGGTAGTTGTTACCTGAACCTGTCCCTCAAAGCCACTGTCATTTTTCTATCGCAAAATCCTTTTCAATCGAGGCGCTTCATCTGCCAGGAGCTGCTGTCAGCGCTGCCCGAGAGTACAAAACTGTCTGTGGAGAAGACTGGGCTCATCAGCTCTCAAATGTGGGGTTTTTGATTTTTGGAGAGGTGTTGGAAAAAATACATACTACAAAGTAATAGTAATTCTTACTATTGTATTTTACATTTTAGCTGCATAAAGGTAACCTCAGTATCTGTAATAGCTGTGTTTAAAAAAAAAAAAAAAAAAAAAAAAATCACTCTGTGCTGGATGCACCTCTAACTGTAGCTCAGGCAGGGTAAGCTAAGCAGTCAGTAAGAAAAATGAGGGCAACACAACCAGATGCAGGGTGCACCAACAGTTCTACCACCATTTATTTGAAGGACAAAATACAGCTATGGTTTTAGGTTGCTCCTTTGTCAATGTATAATTTCAAACCGTCTTTGATACAGATTTTATATTGCGCCAACATATTCCACAGCCAACATATACCTTATGGGTAGACAAGGCAGCAAAGTGAGGGTATAAAGTGATCTGAATGTACCAGAGGATGGGAAGGGTGCTTTGGAGCAAGAAGCACAGTTGATGGGAGTCTGCAGAGGAAGACTGATTCCTGGCTAAACACTCCAACCTTGCAATTCAAATTATAGGCTTTGTTTTGTATAATTCAGTAAAATTCCAATGTAATCTGAAACTTTCATAATGAGTTGATATTCATGTAAACATGAAGTTACGGTGTTGCTTTAAAGTGGTGTCTTGCCCTTTTATTCTAAACAAAGTAATACTCTATTACTTACCATCATTTTGTCTCCATTTTTAGTGAATTGGACCAAAGCACCGTCACTGAGGAAGCCCCTGAAGCAGAGGAACAACCAGTTGTCGACTCTGAAAACAAGTAAGTATTAACTCCGGTCTCATTTTGTAATGATGGTAAAAGAAATTTAGTTACTGGTCTGTTTAGTTGCCGTCTGTCACAAACCCTATCCCCACCCACTTGTTATATGTAAAAAAAAATCACTTTTTTTTTTCTCTCCATTATTTGGAAATTGGGAAAACTGTGTATGTTAATCAGGTTACTGTTGTAGCAAAAACATAAGGTGGATCTGTGAGCAGCTTTCCTGCTTGTATATCTTCTACTAAAAAAGACAAACATATCATCGCCAAGTGAACCAGGTAATGGCAGTTATTACTGATGCACACATTTGCATGCTCCTTATAACATTTTGCCAGTGTTCATGAAATCATGGGAGAACTAGTGAATCAGAATTCATGGTTCATTAATTCTTCTCACACCAAAATACAAACCTGTATTCCTGACACTAGTTCTAAAACCACAGTTTAGATGGTCGACCCTGCCCCCCTTACCTCAAGTAAGAGGTTATTTACTCACCTTTTTTCAAGCTACTTATGCAGCGCTTCACATCTGGTCCCACCCCCGATATGCCTTCTTGGTTGACATCAACAAAATTGATAATCTCAGCCAATCACCTAAGAAAGGATTAGTTGAGATTGTAGATTCTGATTATATCCGTTAAGAAGGCGGGGATGGACGCCGCCCTGGCCAATCAGCATCTCCTTTAGAGAGATGTATTGAATCAATGAGCATGGAGATGTTGAATGTCAGTGCTGCACACTTTGCAGCACTGCCCCAGAAAGAGTCTCTATTGACTAGTGGAATTTCTTTAGCTCTTAACCCCTTAAGGACACATGACGTGTGACATGTCATGATTCCCTTTTATTCCAGAAGTTTGGTCCTTAAGGGGTTAAGGATAGAAGCAATTGTCCAATTGACGCTGAACGGCAGAGCTGCCTACTGTGCAGTACTGAGCCAGGAAGCACCTCCAGTGGCCATCCGAGGAGTGGCCACTTTGAGGTGTCCCTAGGGGCAATGTAAACACTCTTTTCTCTGAAAAGGTAGTGTTTGCATTAAGATGTAGTTGTCCTGGTGACTATAGTGTCCCTTTAAAAAAAATAATAAATATAGTTAAAGGACAGAAATGGCTTTCTTCGAAGATTGATAATTCTATATGTATACCTGAAACATGGAGTATGAAAAATGTTTAAAAAATGGTCTGCTAAATGGAACAAACCTTTCTACATATATAGAAATGTATTGTGCTTAATTTTTTCTTCTAGGGAAAACGAGGCAGGCGAAGGGCCCAAGGAAGAGGGTCCTAAGGAAATGACTTTGGATGAATGGAAGGCTATGCAAGATAAGGAACGCGCAAAAGTTGAATTTAACATCCGGAAACCAAATGAGGGCGCTGACGGCCAATGGAAAAAGGGATTTGTCCTTCACAAGTCAAAGAGTGAAGAGGTAACTTTAATTCTGCTGTTTTGGCTCTTTAACACCATGTTTGGTTGGTAAAATTAAACTTTTGTTTTAATCAAATGTCAGTAATAGTTATTTGTTTAACAAATTAGAAAGGTGTGACTAGTCTGTAAATGGTTGTGTGTGTGTATTTTGTTTTTTTTAAGGGGACACTAACATGATTGAATTTGATTTTATTTATTTTTATATTCATTTCTTAAATACAATCCTGTTATAAAATATTTTTCAGATCAATGTAGATGACAGCTTGCAAACAATTGTAAGTTTATGACCGTTTTCTTAAAAATTTGCTTGTTTAGATTTCTACTTTTCTTGGCTAAGAATACCTATTCAAAATTTACTGCTTTGCTGTGACCAGTGGAATGCCTTGATCTAATAGAATTTATCCCTAAGACATGCACTATTGGTTCCCTGTGGGCATCTCTAAGCTTTGTCAATGAGCATTGCCATTCAATGAGGCTTCATTAAAGGGGCATTGGACACCAATTCAACTCTAGCTTCATGAAGCAGTTGTGGTGTGTAGGTCAAGCCCCTGCAGTCCCTCTGGACAGTTCTGTCATTTAGGAGGTGTATAATTTGTTTGTTTATGCAGCCCTAGCCACACCACCTCTGGCTGAGACAGACAGCTTGCACAAAGAAATGTTTTCATTTTCAGATGTAAACTTGCTTTAAATGTTTTTCCTCTTGCTCTGTAAATTGAACTTTAATCGCACACAGGAGTCTCCTGCAGAATCTAGATGGCTATTACAGAGCAGGAGTTTAAAAAAGGTTTCTAAACTAAACAGATTGTGCAATAAAGGAAATGTAAACCATAGATCTCTCTAAGATCCAAGTCTCTGTGTATGGAGACTGCAAGTCACATGCAGAGAGGTTTGATTAGGGCTGTATAAACAAAGTGATTTAGGTCAGAGAATTGTGCAGTGAGACTATGGGGGCATGGTCTATACCTAAAAACTGCTTCATTAAGTTAAAGTTGTTGTGGTGCCTATAGTGTCCCTTTAAGAGTAACTATCTCTCAGAATGTTACAATATTCATGATAGTGTCCCTTTTCACAGAATTTGAAAAACTTGTAGTTATATGGTGGTTGGCGTATTGGCCCACAGATGACCCCGGTGTCTGTTTGAACAGGCTCCGTATTCTACCTACTCCCACCACCATTTAAACAGGAGCTGTCACTTAACGTTTTAAATATTGTGTACTTATCCCTTTTATTTAATAGACCTGTATTTGTAAGGTGAAATAAGCATAGAACTCCAAACCTCTCATCTAAGACACTCATTCTTTGATCATTATCAGTCCGCGTAGAGAAAACATACAGAGAAGAGAAGAAATACAGATTCATATTTTTCCATGCACTCAAACCCCCTCTCCTCAGCAGCCATGGCTACTGTATACATCAGCCCAAATGCATAGGAAGAACCCAGGACATACTTGAAAACGAGAGAAATCTCAATGTATCTTTCCTGGTAAAATATTTTATAAATAAATAAATAAATATAAATAAATAAGTCTAAATAACGGGAGGTGTTAACTAAGTATGCATGGGGTTGTCATCAGCACTGTCTTGTATTACACAGCCATGTTACAAACACACAAAATGATGCCCTTTGTTATAACTCCTACTACTGGGGAGCAGCAATAACTAGAGTACACATAAGCCCAAATGCATCTATATATTCCAAATATGCAATGCGCCCTCCCCCCTCCTTGTTTGAAATGCATTGTTTAGTTTGGTCAGTATTTAATTGAAATTCAGTGGTGTAAATTCTTCAAAGAAGTGACAGCTCCCCTTTAACTCTTGGAGGTCTGATAGGTAATGCTGGTTGTTATAGACAGCTGGAGAGCAAACAAATAGAGCACCAAAACGTCCAACTACAAGCATGGTTCAGTTTGTCCTTGTTGGTTTTGTACCTTTGAAAGCAATTTGTTTTGCATCATGTGACTCGAGCTTGAGACCTTTACAATTTCCCTAATCATGTGTTTGATTCAGAAGATTATAGAATGAAGTCTTATTTGATTTATTTTTGCCCTCACTTTGTCAAGATTAATATGCGTAAATGTATTTGTGAGAACAGTACTGTTACAGATAATGGTAACATGGCTGAGAAAGATGCAGAAACATCTTGATGTCTAGTGCTATCAAACTTATTGTAGGAGGGCCACTCGAAGGCTCATTTGAATCTTTTAACAAAAGGGTTCTCTCTGCGGCCATCGTTGTAATCTGTTACACTAATCTTTAGACTGTAATGATTTGCTGAGACTCATGGGCTCACACTATCCCAGTCTTCCTATCCAAGGAAAACCAAAAGGACAGTATTCATAGATTTAGAACCATATCCACTAAATAAGCTGTAATAGTAATGATAGACTAATTTACAAAGGGCACTCTATTTCCTCTTCCCTCATACTTCACACCTTGTGCTGTTCCTTCTTTTCCTGTCAACACTATTCTGCAGTTGCTCAGTTCTACTTAATACCTGGTGCTATGTTTGTTTTTTCCTGCTTTTGCCCAGCACCCTTGCATAATATTGCACCTTTGCTTATCTGTATTCTGTAGATCTTTGAGGACAGCCCATGAGCATATCAAGCCCATCTGCTTTCAATGACACCTATTGCATTGTGTGCTCATATATGTGTAACCCAAGGCTGAACAAATGTCTAGAGCATTCTAACTGGCTTGTAAAATATCACTGCTCGCAGTTACTTTTTGTAGAGTTAAGTTCAAATGTCTGTGGCGGCATAGTTTTAATTAATCCTCCCCCCTCCCCCTTAAATAATGCACAATTTTTGTTCGTCTCTGTGCCTGCATCATAAAATTTTACACTTAAAGTTTAATTATTTTTTTAAAACTCTACTTTGGTTGCAGAATAAATTTATTTGGTTTCTGCTTAATCCGTTAGTGTGCAATTATCTTCCTTTTAGAAATTGTTTTCTGAAATGACCTTTTCCCTAAGTGCAAGTTTTACTAGTTGCGAGCCTGCAGTTCTCTGGCTTTGTGTGCTGTCTTTTTGTGTTCATTGCATCGGCACAAAAAACGTTCTCATATTTTGGTTCTAGGTTCACGCGGAGTCTGACGCTTTTGACCATCACTTCCGTAAGCCTGCAAATGATATCACTTCACAACTTGAGATCAACTTTGGCGATCTTGGCCGGCCTGGTCGAGGTGGCCGAGGCGGCCGGGGTGGTCGTGGCCGCGGTGCAAGGCCAAGCCGTGGAGGGAAAATTGACAAGGTAACGCCTTTAGAAAACAACTTCACTGAGCCAAGGCGCGTCGGGAAGACTTACCAGGTAAACTTTATAAAATTGCCTTGCAAAAATGCTCCAGTGAATTGCATAATGTTTAGAGTAAATTAAAGTGTTTTTTCCAGAATTATAAAACTAACCCTCAGTATAAGTTAGCACGTACATTCTTTTGTTTCTAGTGTTTTCTCCTGCACATTGTCCATTCATGTTCGGTAACATATTGGCACATGTTGCACTGTGAAGAACCGTACTCTCCTCTTCTCATGAGTGTTTATCTTTTTTTCCTTTTTTTTTTCTTTTTCTTTTTTCAGTCAAGCGATTCTTCTGCTCCTGATGTAGATGACCCAGAAGCTTTCCCAGCTCTGGCGTAAACTGGCTGAGTCCAACCCTGGTGCCCTTGAGGCCCCTTCTACGAGGCTTGCATGCTTAAGGATCCTGAAACAACTCCTCCAAATTAAGGAAGAAAAATAAAATAACCCAAGACTGTCAGTCATACCTTTCACACCTATGGACTGAATTTTATCTGTTTTGAAAATGGACTTCTCTTGCTACGCAGAAGCAAACTCATATGGTAGTCCAGTTTTGTATTAGAGATGTAATGGTAGCAGGGACATTTTCATAATTTTTTCAGAGATTATGCATTCTTCATGAATACTTTTTTGTATTGCTGCTTGAAAATATGCGTTTCCAAACTTGAAATATAGGTGTGAACAGTGTGTACCAGTTAAAGTTTTCATTTTCATCCGTGTTTTTATTCTCCACAAACAGGAGGGGTTTTTGTTTTATTTGCAAACTGTAAATCTTGCTTTAACATTTTTAGAATTCCTCTTTGCAGCTGCATATTTGGGAAAGGCTAGCTTTAATTGGCAGAGTTGCAATCCGCTTAAAAATTGTTGACCGTCTAATCTTTTGTTTGGGAGAAGATAAATTTCGCCTTGGTTGTGGAGATTTTTAAACACTCAACCCTTTAAATGCCAGCCAGGGGAGGAGCGCAATTGCTCAATCCTTGGGCATTCATAGGGTGTCACGAATTCTAGGTACACTGCTAATTTGGGAAGCAATTCTCCACCCTCACCTGCCAATGCTTGTGTGTATTTGCAAACCTACCCTGAGTTACTGTCAGAACCTTCTGTGCCACCTGAACTAGACTTGTGCTGCATGTTTCTTCAGCACCCAAACTTGCGTTCTCCGTCGGCACGTCACAGAAACAAAACCTCAAAGTGGGTTAAACTTAACGTAAAACCAACTTTCCCTGGAATGTTGCTGCAGTTTCACATGTAGTACATCCATCACAATGTTTCTTTCTTTTTATGGCCCTTTCTGGAAACTTCTTCCATTTACAAGAAAATTGAGATACCAAACAAGATCATAATATTCTGTTCCATATGCTGCAATCCTTGTATGAAGAGACATATTATATATATAAATTTTTTTATTTTTTAAGAGCACTAGGGAAGGGTTAATGGTCACGGTGGATAACCTACATCATTATAGGAGGTTACCAGTTTTCTTGGAAAGTAAAAACAAACCCTTTTTTTGCTTTGAAATTTGTCTACTATCTCAGCTTTTGGGCTTCGATGGCTGGTTGACAGATGAATGTTTTCTCACCTAAAGGGTGGTAATACAAATCCCACTTCCCTTTGGGCTTTTTAGCTTATTTAAATTGTTCCTATGATGTAAACATTACCACTTAAACAAAAACAAAAAAAAACTACAAGACACAATAGGATAACTAAGAGAAAAAAAAAAAATAACAAAACCTCAAAAAAGAAAAAAAAAAAGTTGTCTACAGTGTTAGAAGATACTGCTTTTATTTAATATTCTTTTTACATTTTTTTTAGCAGGCTTTAAATTTGTAGGTTCTTATCTGCATAGGTTAATTGAAAGAAAAAAAAAATATTATTGCCCTATTTTTATAAACGTTGTACAGAAGAGGCAACAAAGTATTTGAAACATGCAAAAACCACAATTGCCACCTTGTGTTCTGCAGAATGTCAGAATCTGGTGTGATTGGTGGTTTGTTGTGTTTTTTATTTTTGTTTAGTTTTTTTCCCCTCAACAGGCTAGTTTTTTTTTTTTGTTTTTTTTTTTATTATTCCAAATAATTTTACTTTAGGACTACAAGCTGGGGCATCAGTGACCACATTGGTGCATTAACCTATAAATGAAGTAAGCCTTCACAAAAAAAAAAACATTTTTCAGCATCTGACTCAAATTTAGTTGCCTGTGTCTGTGGGGATTGTTTGTGCTCGGTTTGGGACAATCACAAATACACTTGATAAGTATCTTAGGAAATTGCATTTTCCACCTGACCGTAAACAAGCATTTGAATTTTGCAGTGAGAATTTGAACCTTGATGTGCAATTGATTCATTTTAAATCAATATTGAAATAGATGATCCTTGCTGGCTCTGCGGACTTGTGTCTGGTTTATGTTTGAGATTTTTGCAACCTGTATTAAAATCTCATGGTACTAGCCTACTAGGAATGTTTACGTTTTCCAAACTCTCCTCCCTTTGGCTAAGTTCCCATACAGGTTTAAGATTGATTAGAAGTGTTTATGCACATGTGACTGTGCAGGGTACATACATAAAAATAAATCTACCAACAGTCCTAGCTCTTGGCAACAGGCAATTTGAGATATTGGTCAATATCCATCAGTAAACTGCTGCTGTTTTCGCTTGTGTTTGTAAATTTGCCTCTTCAATCCATTTCTTTGTGAACTAAAACTGTGACCTTATCTGTCTGGTGGATGCTTATTGAATTAAAGGTTAATTTTCATGCTTTTGTTAGTTTCGTGGAAGGTTAATATGATGGCCGCTTTTTTTTTTTCTTATATTTTTTTGGGGGGGTGTATTTCTTATTAATATGTGCTTGCATGCAGAAAACAAGATGTTGATTGTTTAAAATATATATTTTCCCCCTCATTTATCTGGGCTAATTATCCAGGCTAAATGTTAAGTTTTGAGTCAAAATTCAATGTAAAAGACTTTAAACCCAAGCATGAAAGTTCACCTTTTGAATTGGGCACCCTTTATTTGTTTAGAGCAGGGGTGTACAGTCTTGGCATATCAGGCACTGTTGGGCTACATGTCGTCTTATGCTCTGCTGTCAGTCAGAGTATAGGGAAAACTGTAGCCTCACTGAAGCCTGAGGGTTAAGATTTTACACCAGTGTTGGAGAATAATTAACCATTCCCAGACAGGGTATAGAAGTCCAGGTAAGGTATTTATATTAAGTCCGTGTATGGATTTTTACATATTCATATGTTCAATGCTTAAATAAGACTACTGTGTAATAATTTCATATAATCTCATTCCCACTGACATTAGAGAACCCTTGACTTAATAAATGCTGGTCCGAGGCCTAAAGCTGAAACCTGAGATGTACAAATTTATGTGCTTTGCATTACATATTTTTTTTTCTCTCAAAGTTTTCCATTTTCTGCTCCCAGATCTAATGGCTAATCCAGGTTTCTCGTTGTTACATAATAAATGTGTGTTTTTTTTTGTTTTTTTTTAGGGTGCACTTTTGTAATTATGTAAGTGGATTCAGTACAATTAAATTGTGCTAAATCCAAGATTTATGAACAGAGACACTCAGAACTCTCTCGGAAATGAATCGCACCAAAAATTTATTTTCAAAACTTAGTACAGGGTTATTAAACAAACTTCAAATTCTAGGGAACTACATTCATATGGAATAATGGAGGCAGACGTGACTGATTTGGGAAAAGTCTTAAACTCCTCTATAGTTGCGGCCTTGTCTGTTTTTAGCCTCCGTGTTGCCATTACCACCTTACTTTCTAAAATCAAGAATTTAGTGACCATCCCTGACTATAATTAAAGTGGATCTGTCTTCCAGAGAATGACAATTCCTTCTCTCTCCCCCCTCCAGTAATTCCCATTGCAGGGTCCACTGTAGTGTTTGGTTTTTATTAAAAAAAAACCAAAAAAAAAAAACGCTTCCTCCACTGCTGGATTGTGACTTTGCCTTTTTCTGGCAGAGCATGTAACTCAAAAGAAAATAATGTAAACGTTTTGGGGGTTAAGGTTGTGGACAGAGCCCTTTTATCAAAGAATTTAAAGGGGCAAGCAGGTAGTAACAATAACTGCAAGAAACTGCTTTCTGCTGTCCCTGTCTTGATTGACTTATCGTTGACTTTTATAGGGGGTATTTGAGTTTGCTTTGATCAAGTAGCAGGGACAGACCATTCCCTGAATGTTTATTGCATTATCACAGTTTTTAGTAGTCTGGAATAGAGGTGCTAGAAGAGAAAGTGTTCATAAATGTATTACAAAACATCCATTATAGGGTCTCTCCAGATCCATAAATCAATTCAGCTTGTCAAAGTGCTTTTATGATGAATTTTATTTTGGTTTGGTTTTTCTTTCAATTTCTACTCTTCTCTCCGAAGTGGAGACCAATAGAAAATCGCACCCTTATACATTTACACACCCATGGCTGTCAGATAACCGGTCCTGTTACTTCCTGCTGGTTTAACGTGTTGAAGATCAACCTAAGAGGCTGGCAATTGCTCACATACCTGCATTCCAAAGGCTTCATTGGGAAGTCTGGCACCGCCACAAGTTTGGGATGGGATAGAAAGTGGGTTCCTTTGCTTTTAGTGGAGGTTTTGCTCCTCCAGATATTAGGCTTTAACATGGTATCTAGCATTCATCTGGTGCAAGAGAAATAACCTTCCTTACCTCTGGGTTAATGTGTATTTCCTTTTTTTTTTTTTTTATTTGTTCACATCAAAGGTGATTTACATTTACAGGGTCAAACCAGGAAGCAAAAGGCACAAATTTGGCTAAAATGAACGTTACCTGGGCATACCTCACTACATGTGTGAAATGGAGATGTAATTTCCACCTTGGGGCTGTAAGTGAGAATTTGGTGAAGACTCTAGGATTATACTGTAATGAAATGCATAAACTAGCCAACACAATCCATCTTAGTTATGTTTGTAGGTAAAATACATTTCTGCTTGGTGTATATACTAAAACATGTAGTCCTGGGGAAATAAAATTACACTCTCTTATGGTTTCACATCCCAACAATCATCTGTTCTTTAGCAGGTCTTAAAGTTAAGTAAATACAATATCAGCTGAACAACACATGACATATTACACAGTGTCATGATTAATAAAACCAATATGGGGAAGCCATGTCTGTAAAACTTAAGTACACCTGTACTGCTTCCATAGGAATTAAGAGGCTAAGTAGCACATAGAATCTGCTAGGCAAATGCCCTTTATTAATGTATCATCAGCAAGTGTGGCCACCTCTGTAAAAGCTAAAGATTTAGCAGTTTGCTAGTCTGAAGCATTCAGGTGTGTTAACACAATGCCAAAAAGGAAAGTCTAATGATTGTAGAGAAGCAGTTGCTTCCCATAAAACTGGGAAGGGTAATAAGGCCATTTCCAAGATATTTAAAGTCCATAATTCTACAGTGAGAAAGATTATCTAAAAGTGGAAAACATTCAAGACCTTTGACAATCTTCCCATGAGTGGACGTCCCAGAAAATTCATCCCAAAATCAGACACTGCAATGCTTAGAGAAATTGCAACAAACAAACAAACTAGTTACATTGCAGACTCTACAGGCCACAGCATTAAATGTTAAAGTTTATGACAGTACAGTTAAAAATAGGTTGAACAAGTATGGTTTGTTTAGAATGGTTGCCAGGAAAAAGCCTTCTCTCTAAGAAGAACGTGACAGTACGGCTTAGATTTCTAAAGTTGCCTCTGAACAAGTCACACAACTTCTGGAACAATGTCCTTTGGACAGATGAGGCCAAATTGGAGATGTTTGGCCATAATCCACAGCACCATGTTTGGCAAAAGCCAAATACCACATATCAGCACAACCACCTCATACCAACTGTCGAGAGAGGATTATTCATTTTGGCTTGTTTTGCAGCCACAGTATCTGGGAACATTGCAGTCATTGAGTTGATTCATGAACTCTATACCAAAGTATTCTAGAGTCACATGCCTGGTCATCTGTCAGAGCACTCAAACTTGGCTGAAATTGGGTCATGAAACCGGACAATGATCCCAAACACCAACAAATTTATAACAGAATGGCTGAAAAAGAAAACAAGGTGTTGAAATAGCCCAGTCAAAGTCCAGACCTCGACTCGATTTGAAATTTTGTGACAGGATTTCAAGAGAACTGTGCCCAAACAAATACCAGCAAACCTCGATGAACTGATGCAACGTTCTAAAGAAGAGTGGGCCAAAATTCCTCCACAGCAACGGAAGACTGATAAGGTACAGAAAACGATTACTTCAAGTTATTGCTGCTAAAGGTGGTTTTACAAGCTATTCAATCATAAGGTGTACATAGCTTTTCAATAAATAGCTTCTCTATTTTAGCTTTATTTTTGTTAAATCATGACATGGTATAATCTGTCATATATTGTTCATCTACGGTTGTATTTACCTAATTTTAAGAACTAAAGGACAGCTTGTTTTCTCCTGGTAATGTGAAACCATGCCACGGTCTTCTTAACTTCTAGTCCATGTTCCAGTTGCCTATCCTGTAACATTAGGTCTCTTTGATTATACCTTTATATCCAACTACATGGGTTCTCTGAACACATTTGAAAAAAACTTAGACTTCAACTATCACACAAAAGGTATGCCAGCATCCAAGAAGAGATGCTTTGTTATTAAGAAAATAAAAAGTCAAAATTGCTAAATCTATTATTGAATTGGAAATAAATCCATCTTCTGTCCTCCATTTATATTTCACTACAGTCTGCTGCTTAATGTACTCTCCCCTCTCCCCATGCTACTGTCCTTTCAGCCACTATTATTTTGTGTAAAAACATAGAATGTAACGGCAAATAAGAACCATTTGGCCCATCTAGTCTGCCCAATTTTCTAAATACTTTCATTAGTCCCAGGCCTTATCTTGTAGCTAAGATAGCCTTAAGCCTATCCCACGTATGCTTAAACAACATCGCTACCACTTCAGTTGGAAGGCTATTCCATGCATCCACTACCCTCTCAGTAAAGAAATACCACCTAATATTTTTAAACCTTTGCCCCTCTAAGACTGTGCCCTCTTGTGGAATTTAAATTTTCTTTTAAATATACTCACCTCCTTTACTGTGTTGATTCTCTTTATGTATTTCTTTCAAGCTATACATGTTAAAATACTTTAACCAGGTAAGTTTTATCCTGCAATCCATTAACCAGTTTAGCAGCTCTTCTCTGAACTCTCTCCAAACTATCAATATCCTTTTTCTGTACCAACTGTTAAAATACAAAGTTCTAAATATCCTGAAAAAAACCCTTTTTATTTTTAAAAAGGCAATTTCTCTATTTACAAATAATCCTTCATGTGTCGTCAATGCTGATCGTCAAGTAATCCTACTCGGTACTTGGTCCCAAATAAATACTTTATAAAATATTTTCCGATAGTATGGTTAATGCCAGATTTTATGTAGTTATTCCCAGTCTTTACTCGATAAAAGAATGGCAGTTGATCCTCACGGTGTCCAAGCGTAGTTTTCCTTCTGCCACAAATTGGGTAGGGATGACAAACTGAGTTGGGAAATGTTCATCGTCACTCATGTCCTCTGTGTTGTCAAGCATGTGCGTTGGTAAATAATCAATAGTAATGTCCTGATTGACCAAGTAATCCGATGTGTCACACTGGACAGGCTCTTCAGGTCTTAGAGTCTTGTACAAGTCTTGGTCGTGAGGTTGCAACAAAATTTTTGGCTGTATGAGTAAGTTATCCTCTGTAGGTGGTGGAATGGAATCATCTGTGCTTGATAACGTTGTTTGTTCATCTTCGACACTATCAACAGACAATTGAGACGTCAAAGGCAGAATTTCTTCTTCACTGTCAATCTCCTTAATTTCCAGGGTCTCTGTTTCATCATAATTGGAGGTTTCCAACAAGTTTTTATACATGAAATCCATTATCTCCTATAATAATGATTTTGAGAGAGCGTGTTAATAGTTACAGAAAACCAAATCTAGACTTTTTTTGTTTTCTGTGTGTGTGTGGGGTATTTTTGTCTATGCCGCCTGCATGCCAATGGCATTGCAGTGAAGCCTAGGAAGTTCAAATCAATATATAATGGATAACTTTCAGAGGTTTTCCAGTGATATACACAGGGTTATTCAGTAAAGGGAGAATTCACAGGGAATAACCCAAGCCTGTCATGTTAAGCATTAGAGGTGCACTTTGAATAGTGGAGTCTCTACCCGAAGGAGCATGTGTAGGTTACCAACTTAACCACCTGAGGGTTTGTGGGTTTTTCGAGATTCCACTGAAAGAAAACTGGGTCAGAATTCTATAAGTCTAGCAATTGCCATGTGTACATATAAAATACACTATCTGGTTACATTTGTTTCAATGGTGTTTTTGTTTCTTTTTCTTCTTGGTTTTCTATCTGTAAATCTTGGGCATCTGACAACTTCTAGCAGGGATCTGAAACTCTGGCCCTCCTAGAATTCTATGAACGCCATTGATGGCCACAGCATCATTGGAGTTGGAGTTCTGTGTGACATGTCTAATGTGTAGGATCTGCACCTGGGTAACTTCTAAAGAGAAAGAGGTAGAGCTTTGAGTGTCTATTATAATTCTATCCACTAGGGGGCAAAAGAGCACTACAGTACATCTAATAATGGTTATGAATTAATTGTGTGTGAAGTTAAATTAAGAGATATAAGGTGTAGGACAATGTTTTTTACTTTGCTGTTTAATGGTATTTTTTTATAAGATGGGAAAGTATAATATACTACCTAATGGCTGAGTACTCTGGGGATTTACTGTGAATGTGGGCTATTTCTTCCATGTTGTTTAGCGCATGGTCCAGAATTTTCCAGCACCAATCCAGAACAGGTCTTTTTTATATGGTGGGGGTGTATTGAATCACTAAGCCAGGCTGAAGGAGCACCTGCTGATAGAATACCTGCTCTGGGGTGACCCTGTGAGTAGAAGTGCAAAATTCTATTCTCTGATGAAGGTTTGACAACCAAAACATTACTGTTAAACTCTGTGTGTGCTACCATTAAACCATTGTTTCCTATTAGATGGTATTGCTGCAGTCATTGCTGGATTGTAATATTGCTCACACTGACCAGGGACCTATCCTACTGCTGACATTGGAACATCTACATGCAAAATGACTGCAGTGTCTATAGAATGGCAAAAGCAGAGTCTAGCATTTTTTCCTCTATTAATGAGAACAGTTCTAGCTCTGATGACAATTACAAGTTATATAAGTAAGTAATGTAAGTATATACAAGTATAAGTAAGTAATCTGTAGTATACAGATATACAAAATTGAATCCTGCACTCAAACTCCCACTCCTGGGCGGCAGCAATGACTATAGTACACATCTGCCACGACATACAATAAACATAGAATGTGATGGTCAGGGCCTGACTGGGGATACAAAGCAGCCCTGGAAAAAAATCTGACAGCCCCATAAGTCATTGCGCCATATATTGTCGCATGTAATATGTAAGGCTATGTCTTGCCACCCCAGATGATTGAGTAACAGCAGGCACACACACACGCACACATGCAAGCAAGCTCACTCACTAGCAGGTGCACACACACACACACACAGCTTAATGTAGTGGTTCTGATGTCTATAGCCTGTCCCTGCAGGCTTTTCAATGTAAACACTGACTTTTCATTGCTTTCTAGTGACAGACACTCAGACGGTCACCAGAGGTGATTCCTGTGTCAGTGCGGATTGGCTGAGATCATCAAACTTGATGATCTCAGCCATGGAGGCAGGACCAGTCGAGGGGAGACCAGCATGACTTTAAAAAAAAAAAAAGGTGAGTAAAAATACTATTTTTAAAAACAGACACACACATATACCTTGACACAGACAGACCATGACAGACACACACATCATGACACAGACACACACACACACATACACCATGACAGACACCATGACACAGACACACACCATGACACAGACAGACACACACACACACCATGACACAGAAACACACACATACATACACTCCCACTGACAGACTGACACACATAATTGTTGCTACCTGTGGGCAGACAGAGGGGTGTGCTGGCGGCCGCAGGGAGAGCTCTGATGGTGGCCGCAGGGGTAGCTGGCTGCTCTGTCTCTGCTCCCCAGTGCGCAGCTTAATGAGACCGGGCCGGAATATGACGTCATATTCCGGCCCCGGTCTCATTAAGAAGTGCACGAGGGCAGGGGAGCAGAGACAGAACAGCCAGCTCCCCCTCTGGCCGCCATCAGAGCTCTCCCTGCGGCCGCCAGCACACCCATCTGTCTGCCCGGCCCCAGGTGCCGACGGCTCACCGGGAAATTTCCTGGTATCCCAGTGGGCCAGTCTGGCCCTGATGACGGTAGATCAGAACCATTCGGCTCATCTAGTCTGCCCAATTTTCTACATATTTTTATTAGTCGCTGGCCTTATCTTATAGTTAGGATAGCCTTATGCCTATCCCACGCATGCTTAAACTCCTTTACTGTGTTAACCTCTACAGCTTCAGCTGCAAGGCTATTCCATGCATCCACTACCCTCTCTGTAAAGTAATACTTCTTGATATTATTTTTAAACCTTTGCCCCTCTAATTTAAGACTGTCCTCTTGTTGTAGTAGTTTTTCTTCTTTTAAATATAGTCTCCTCCTTTACTGTAATTCCCTTTATGTATTTAAATGTTTCTATCATATCCCCCTGTCTCGTCTTTCCTCCAAGCTATACATGTTAAGTTACTTTAACCTTTCCTTGTAAGTTTTATCCTGCAATCCATGAACCAGTTTAGTAGCCCTTCTCTGAAATTTCTATAAGTATCAATATCCTTCTGAAGATACGGTCTCCAGTACTGTGTACAATACTCCAAGTGAGGTCTCACCAGTGTTCTGTATAATGGCATGAGCACTTCCCTCTTTCTACTGCTAATACCTCTCCCTATACGGAGTTACTTGTACATTATCCCAAATCCCTGCACATTTAAATAACTATTTATTTTTTAAGTGTCACTCCAATGGCCATTTAAGTGTAAGCTCACCTGTCACGTCAAGGCAAAACCTCATAAGTGAATCCTACACTAACAATTCCCATCACAGCTTTCAGCTAAAAGGTAAAATCTCTGAGACAGAAAGGGGTGTTTTTCTAAGCCCCTACACACTTATTAACCTTTAATAACACAAGGGGTGGGCGGCAACACTGTACCATGACATGGCGGGTGACCTTACACTTTTATGGCCATTGGAGTGATACTAAGAACCTCCAGTTATTTATATGTGCATGGGGATTTAGGATAGTGTGCAAGTAACTTTTTCTTTGGTTAATAGCACTTTTCAGTGGATTTACATTGCATTTCACACATACTTTAATTTTTTTTAAAAAAAAGCAGAATCCACAAATTTCTTTGTTGAAGTAAATGCAGACTAAGACCACGACACCATGCTCTAGCCTTGAAGGTGGCGCCATCACAGACCCAATATCAGCTTGGTAAATCACATTCGGGAACGTATTCCAACCACTGCCTAGCTATCTGGTGGCAGTCACAGTTTATTTAGCCCAATCTAAGAATACAAATATCAATCTGTCATAAGTAGTGTTCCCTATAAGTACGTTTTTGTAAAGTTGTTGAGTAAGGAAATATCCCTCTGTTTACTTTGAGGACATCGTCAAACTATGTAATTCACAGGGTCTGATTGTTCTACAGACTGTAGACTATTATATATACTTTTCCTATTCATATGAAGTATAGATGTCTAATGAGTAGAGTAACAGATGGTAATTTGCTATCCTGTACTATGAGAAGTCTGGAAGTGTACCAAGCCTCGTCTGTCCTTAAATGGCCAGAATTTTAGTTAACAGCGAATTTATAGTCATAGCTATATGGAATGGTGGAGAAAGGACCCTCTCTTCATGTAACATTATTAAGCTGTACCACCAGTCAAGATTTTTTTTTATTTTTATAAAAGCTCTGCTGTTTGCATTGTGAGTATACATTTTTTAAATTTTTATCAAGAAAATTATATTACGTATTCTTTTTGGGTGATATTGAAGAATATTCCAATCCGTCTTATGCTTTATTAATAAGCCATTTATTTCCTCAACGGTTAAAATTCAGGACATCTAGCAAAACAAATGCTTGAATTAACAGGTTTTGAGTTGGACCCCCCATATTGAACTAGCTCTGTCATGTCCATTATCAGTAGGTGGAGGAGGGGTGTAGACTTGGTAACTAATGTGTCGATACTACCAACTCTGTCCATTTCTATTCCTGGAAATTTTTTTACAAAACCTTTAAAAAAGCAAATGGTTGAAAATATAAAAGTGAAATGTAGCCCAGTCTGCATCAGATGTCTCTTCAAAACATCTATGGCCATAAAATAGGATTCACCCTTTCTGGATGACTGTAATACAGGGATAGTTACCTTGTTTTCTATGTATTGTTTAGCCCAGTTCGAGTTAGCCGGGTCTGGGACTGTCTTTACATCCCATCGAGAAAGTATGCCATACAGGTAGTACAAAAGCCTGGTGAGAAAATCGTAGAGAATACAATTGGGAAAAGTTGGAAATCAACACCCAATTTCAATTTTTTTCTTTTTAAATTTTTATGAGAGTCATGATTTGAATACAATTTATTGATTAGAAAAAAACAATGTAGTATTAATGTTCCTCTAAAATGGTTAGCGGTTTAAATAATATTTAAAAAACAGTCTTCATCTTTATCCATGCACAATCCAGATATTTGTAGCAGCTGCAACAGCATAAAATTATGGGTTTCAAGGTTGATGGACTTTAGGCCAGGGGTTCCTAAAAGGTAGATCCCCAGATGTTAAGGTATGTATGAACGTGCAAAGTATTATGGGAGTTGTAGTTCTGGAACATCTGGGGATCTATCTCTTGGGCACCCCTGCTTTAGTCTTTGTTTCAACCCTAGAGCACTGTGTTTAAGGAGACGTGTACAGATGATCTCCTTGAATCATACATAACCTGTGCTTGGTATGTGAACGGTACACATTGCTTTTGACTTACTACTATAACTACTTTTTCAGTTTGTTTAATTGCCACGTTTATTTTAAGGTTAGTTAGTGAGTTATAGTGACAATTGATTGGCAATGTCTATGTAGAAAAAAAAAATTATACTGCTTTGCAATATGCATTATTGTGAACGTCATTGTTGTAGAGCCCTGTGATACACCCATACACACTGTACATTACTGTGATACACTTATATAAGTAAAATACAAAGATTTTTGTTTACCACCAATTTAATACAATCATTACACAATTTTTTTAAGAGATTACATATATGTTACCTTCGTCTCGCTGATGGGATTGCACAGGCGCAAGTTATCAATATTACTGGTACCAGCGTAAGAATCAAAACTATTTTCATGGACTCTTGGGAATGAAGTACACAAATAAATGTCATGTTAGATTTACTAGGAAAATGAATACTGTTCACTCAATGATCGATCTCAGATCGTAAGTATCCATTTATGTCTTTTGGATAAACTTTCCAGGTGATTACAATCCATTTTAATGAGGGCTTCCTTAGATAAATCATTTGAAAAGTTTTGTGATCATTTGAAAAGCTTATTCAAAAATGATTTAATTGAGGTTTTTGTTTTTGGGGGCTTGTGGCCCTCCCTTGATCTGAAAAATGCTGATCACTGAATCACATCAGCTGAAGTACTCAGACATTGAATGCTATATAAATTAGCACACAATTGAAACGGTTAATGCGGACATGTAACTGGAGCGCGGGGACTGTAGTGGCTATGGTACTTTGTGTATCCTTTTAAAGGAGCACTCCAAGCACCATAACTACTGCAATCTGCTGTAGTGGCTATGGTGCCAGAAGTACCCTGGCTCCTTCCCAGGGCAAGTAGTCAAAAAGTCTGTGAATGGTTTGACAACTTACTATGGTCCACCAGGAGCTATTCACAGTTTTTTTCTGGAGCATTTGCGGTTCAAGGATACCAAAAAAAAGTAAAATTCTGTAAATATACAGAATTTAAATTTTTCAGCAATACCTTCCAATTTTTGTTTATTTTCTGCAAAGGATGGATTAATCATATATTAAAGATTTTCTTACTCATTGTCTTGTAATCCTTCAAACGGGATCAGAAAAGTCGAGTAATAGTTTTAAAATCACACATTGTAGAACAGTTGGTGGGGAATTCTAATGTGACACTGCAGCTGTAATCCAGTGGTAAAAACAAATGCATTTTTGAGTCGTAATTTTTTTAAAGGCTATTCTAATTAAACATGGAAACGGTCACATATTTGAAAAGACATTCATCAATATCTGTTTGATTGTCTGAAGTTCTGACCTTGCGAGTCAATAAATATTTGACGCTCATGATGCCCAGTGCTTTCTCCTCCTCCTGTCGAACACGTCATCCAGATGAGATAGTGAACGTTTTGCTTTATGTCAGTGATCTTGTATTGATTCTTTGACGATTCATTGGTGAATACTATGAACACAACACACAACACCCAACCTTTTAAACTGCACCATGTATTATTGATGTAGAAATTCATTGAGTCCTTGTTACATATTGTTATAACTTGTTCAAATTCTGGGATTTATTCACTAAACAGTTAATTTAAAATTGAATGAAAAATATGGTAAAATAGCAGAATTGACAAAAAATGACTAAATCAGCTTAGTTATGTACAATAAGGGTTTACTTACTTAAACATGAATTTTGGAATATTAGCATTAATAGAGAATTGCACAGTTTAGTCCAAATAGACAAGATGAAAAGATTCTAATTTGGGGCAAAAATATTTAACTGCCTTTTTAAATCTCTCTGATTCCAATTTTAATAAATAAATGCTGTTGTAACTAGCTTAAAATGTTATTTGGTTCTTTCTTTGTAAGAAAAAAAGGTCAAAAACCTTGACAGAATTGCATATAAACCACAATACGTCAGCCAAATCTGTCTGAACCATTACTTTGGCTTTTGCAAAAGCCGTACTATTGTTGATACTATGTACTGTCTGTCATTGAAAAATAAAGAATAATATATATATATATATATATATATATATATATATATCTCAATGCAAATGCTTCAATATGTTTTTTAATTTTATTTTGATTATTTTTCTTTTTGGTCATATATAAATTACTCACATGTAACCTGACTGGTAAAGCTGAAGATTGTATTCTTAATATAAATAGTGTACTTGACAATACAGCCCATTTGCTCTCTGGGGGGGAGCTCTTCCCATGTCACCAACACGCTACGGTGATCCAATATTTTAACGTGAAATTCAGGACTGGAAAGTGGAGCTTGAGAAACAATGAACCACGAAATAAAAAGGAGACAGGGTGAATATTAGTTGCCATAAAAATGACGTCACAGTGTTTTCTGTTTTCCACGAGACTTGCGCAAGAATGCGTGTCGGCTGGGATAAACAAATCAAATGACTCGATAAATAAGACTCCTCACGTAAATCCTGGCAGGATCGATTTCTTTAGGCACAGATTAAAAAGCATTATTCCAGCTGAAACACATTGGTGCACAAGTTTAATTTCTACCTAGAAAATTCAAATTGAATTTCAAATTTAGAACTAGAGTAGCTAAACGGAAAGCATAACTGACTTAGAGAACATTTAAATTTCTGTTATTTTGTCTTTAAATTTGAGATTCACTTTAATTTTTCACTTTAGTGAATAATTCTGTATAATGTACCTATAAGCCACTTTTGAATTTTCTTTCACAAACTAACCAGTGATGATTCGGTGCCAGCGTGTATCTCCTGGATATTTAGAGTTAGAGGAGCGACACAGCTCTGCTCATGCTAAATCATGATTGTAATTTGGTATTAATCCTTTAAATGAGTATTCCAACCACCAGGATTACACCTGCTCTAGAATTTTGTGCCACAGCACACATGACTTAGACAGGCTGGAAATCTATTCTGCACTGCCCAATGTTAGTCCTGAGCTAAAAGTCTGTCTGTCAGAGCACGTACTGTACGCTGGCAATGGAAGTAACCAGCTTCTCACTGTGAGCGTGCCTGCAAGAATCCAACTAGAAGTCTTTTATAAAATGTCTCATCTCCCACCCTCACTATATGTTCTTTGATTTATCAGGGTTTTTAAACTATTAAACCCTTCCATAAATAATAAAAACAGATAAAGTAAATTTCATGTAAGAAATATACCTCCTGTCCTCCACAGGATTTCCCTACCTCGCCCTATACATTGTGAGACTGGATGGACCCTGGCAAGCATAATGTTTCACCCTTACCTTTCTCTTTGATGGATCCTGAGGTTCTCCCAGGTATTCCGGCTCTTTCTCCCAATACTGGATAAACACGGAGCTCGTAACACGTCCAGGGTTTTAAATTACCTGAGTAAAACAAGCTAGATGATTCAACGAGTTGCAATTGGATGGCAGATTATTTAACATCTCCTTTTAGTCTGATGAAAGGAATCATGGGCCCACGTGATCATGAAAAAAAAAATCTGACAAAATAGAAATATTCTGAGAACAATTTGAATATTCTAGTTCTTCATAGGAAATGTATATTGTGTAGACCGTTAACAGGACCAGAATTTAAGGATTAATCAAGCTCACACTAATGAGAAAATCAATGAAACCTAGGCTATTGATGGTCCTGGAGAGCCACCTGCATAGACATGTCACCTTCTGGAGGCCCACATACACCATTAGTAGACATATCACCATATGAAGGCCAACATACACCATTAGTAGACATGTCACCATCTGGAGGACCACATACACCATTAGTAGACATGTCCCCATATGAAGGCCCACATACACCATTAGTAGACATGTCCCCATATGAAGGCCCACATACACCATTAGTAGACATGTCCCCATATGAAGGCCCACATACACCATTAGTAGACATGTCACCATCTGGAGGCCCACATACACCATTAGTAGACATGCCACCATATAAAGGCCCACATACACCATTAGCAGACATGTCACCATCTGGAGGACCACATACACCATTAGTAGACATGTCCCCATATGAAGGCCCACATACACCATTAGTAGACATGTCACCATATGAAGGCCCACATACACCATTAGTAGACATGTCACCATCTGGAGGCCCACACACCATTAGTAGACATGTCACCATCTGGAGGACCACATACACCATTAGTAGACATGTCACCATATGAAGCCCCACATACACCATTAGTAGACTTGTCACCATCTGGAGGCCCAAATACACCATTAGTAGACATATCACCATTTGGAGGCTCACATACACCATTAGTAGACATGTCACCATCTGGAGGCCCACATACACCATTAGTAGACATGTCACCATCTGGAGGCCTACATACACCGTTAGTAGACATGTCACCATATGAAGGACCACATACACCATTAGTAGACATGTCCCCATATGAAGGCCCACATACACCATTAGTAGACATGTCACCATCTGGAGGCCCACATACACCATTAGTAGACATACCACCATATAAAGGCCCACATACACCATTAGTAGACATGTCACCATCTGGAGGACCACATACACCATTAGTAGACATGTCTCCATATGAAGGCCCACATACACCATTAGTAGACATGTCACCATATGAAGGCCCACATACACCATTAGTAGACATGTCACCATCTGGAGGCCCACACACACCATTAGTAGACATGTCACCATCTGGAGGACCACATACACCATTAGTAGACATGACACCATATGAAGCCCCGCATACACCATTAGTAGACATGTCACCATCTGGAGGCCTACATACACCATTAGTAGACATGTTACCATCTGAAGATCCACATACACCATTAGTAGACATATCACCATCTGGAGGCCCACATACACCATTAGTAGACATGTCACCATCTGGAGGCCCACATACACCATTAGTATTCATGTCACCATATGAAGGACCACATACACCATTAGTAGACATGTCACCATCTGGAGGCCCACATACACCATTAGTATTCATGTCACCATATGAAGGACCACATACACCATTAGTAGACATGTCACCATCTGGAGGCCCACATACACCATTAGTATTCATGTCACCATATGAAGGACCACATACACCATTAGTAGACATGTCACCATCTGGAGGCCCACATACACCATTAGTAGACATGTCACCATCTGGAGGCCCACATACACCATTAGTAGACATATCACCATCTGGAGGCTCACATACACTATTAGTAGACATGTCACCATCTGGAGGCCCACATACACCATTAGTAGACATGTCACCATCTGGAGACCCACATACACCATTAGTAGACACCATATTTATAACAGGCAGTGGAGGAATGCATTAGAAAGTAATCATTTTAGAGACAGTCATATTAATTACCTGATATTACTGCTGATCTGTTATTTCTGGGCACTTTCATCCAGTTTGGATGGTTATAGTGTATTGCACCACGTTCTACCCATTCTATGGTAAAATAATCCACGGACCTCATTTCATTCTTCTGAGACTCCTCCCACCGCACTATTACATTGTCACCAGCTCCTTGAGCAGCAACGTTAATCGGAGACATTAAATCTGTATTAGGAAAGTAAAGATTTGGGGTTTGTGTATTAAACGGTGTGTTCTATTGACATGGGAACCCACTCACAAAATACTATTTAATTTTGCAAACACACTGTAATCTCCTTGGTATTAGATCGGATACTATTTGTTTGCCCATTAGCTATTTTTGTGTCATATTGTACAATTCATTGCGTTACACGTCACAGTGTACATGCTATGTTACACATCTCTCTCACCAAACACCATGAATACCTTCCATTTCACATCTTTGTGCACACATTGCTTTGCATACACAGGACACACTTTTCATTTCACATTGATTGACACACACAAGGTACACGTTGAGGTGTGGACTCCGGCCTGGGAGAGGAACTGAAGAGGCAAATACAGAGGGGAAGATACCTGCCTGGAAGAAGAGAGCTGCAGCCTGATCCAGGGTGGAAGAAGTGCTCAGTGACCCCATTCAAGCTTCAGCAACTGGGGCTGAAGCATTCCCGGGTCCCTGAAAGCAGCTCGGTAGCGGACCTGGTGGAGACACTCAAGGTACTCAATTGGAGAACGGGAGCTCCGTCACAGTTGTGTTCCTTACGCAGGCACTTTTTTCTGTTTTTTTTCTCTTTTTTTCTTTTTAATGTTTTTAATTTATGTTAAAAATAAACTATACTTTGGATGCCTACCATGGAGGTACCAGGAGATACCTGGATAATTATACCATAAGAGGGAGCAGGTGCAGAAGGAGATATGTGGATAGCCCCCCCCATCCATGTATGGGAAGGCACCTAGAGACAATTTAACCACCATCCATTCTGTGAGTGCACTTCTGATTGCTCAGTGATCAAATTAGTTTTAATTGTATTTAACGATGCAGTTATCTTTTTTGTAGATCAATCAGTGGTTTTTACTGTATATATCTTATACTGTGGTTACCTTTACCATGATTCCATGCAATTTAGAATTTAGGAATGTATTCACAAAGAAAAAAAAAAATATTCCCTTAAAAATCCAGGCTAAAATATCCAAGTTGTATCTGAAGAAAATGCTTTGACCTGACGTTTGGACCTGTTTTGGCCTGAATGTTACCATTCAGTTTTCAGTGTTTAGTAAACACATTCCTGTTTGTTTTATTCTGAATAATCTCCTGCATTTTCAAGCTGATATTTAAAGCATTTACTGCAGTATAACATTGTGCACTAGGAGATAATTAAAACAAATCCTAATTTTCTGGAAAAACAGGAAGTAATGTTTTTGCAAACTTTCATGGTGTCTGGAGTCTCCAGCTTTTGCCAAATTAAATTTTAGGAGTTTCTCAATCACTCATAGCATGCCTGACATGATAAATGATTGGCTTTATCAAAGAGTATAATGAATTTACCGCACTACACAAGCATTATTTATGTTCATGTGAGGTTTTATGATAATTTGACACGAGCGAAAGAAACAGTTTGAGTCACCATATTAAATGAAAGCACTCTCTTTTTAACGGTAAATATAGTCTTCCAGTGTTAGTTATATTTGGTGAAGACCACAGCTTCCTGTCTTGCTAGAGAGATGATCGGGTCACTGCATTCTTTAAATGGCAGCGAGATATGCCAATAAATTGATTGCGTAGATTTCTGTCTTAATAGTATAATGGTTGAGACAAAGCAAGCCACAACAACCAGAAAGAGACCAAGTAATTTGTGTGTGTGTGTATATATTTCTATATATAATGAAACCAAGAGGGCTGAGCTCGCCTGAACATGCATACATTATAGGGTGCTGCTGGGGCTACATACAAGATCCAGTGCCATCGCTCATTCACTAAACAGCAATTTTAAGTCTCACGGAATGTATTAGTTTCATTTAAAAACACATCACCTAGGCAAAACAAATGGGGGTTTAGTTACAGTATATGATCATACATTGCATAAACCTGCCACAACATCAATGTACTCCATTCTCGGCAGGTTCTACTCTAACAGCCTAATGCCTGCTCTTATGAGATGAATTAATAGGTGAGGTGTTTTTAAAGAAAACTATAACTTTCTGAGAGACTTGAAATTGCTGTTCAGTGAACGGGTAAGTGCGCTGGATATATTTCTATATATATTTAGTATTATTGGTACCCAGTTTCCGTTGGGGAATTATTTGCTAACTACAGAGTTGGGTCAAGAAGTTAAAATTCCTCTAGTAATTCACTAAAAGGATGATTACAGGATATTTAACCCAGCCTGTTGGATCCTGAAGATGGCAATGTTGCCAAAGTGTCATTCATTTACACTTAATTTCATCGCCAAGTAGAGTATGTCTCTATTCCATACTGCCTTGTCTTCTCTTAGCTTGGCACGTGTAGACAGCGGCGGTCATCAACTAGTGTTCTCTGAGAGCAGGGCCGACAGGCAAATACATTGATTGGTGGAGCAGAGGGCAAGAAAGTATAGATTGGGCACGGGATTGGACATATTAATATCTTTAGAAAAGTTTCCATGGAACAGCAAAATCCTAAATAATAGGCACTAGTGTTCTACCAGAATATGAGAATATATCAGTCATGGCAATTCTAGTTTACTGGCATTTAACAGCTCATTTTAAACACCTACCAGCTGGGTTATTCACACCATAAATTGCGGAAAAATTTAAAAAGTTACCCCAAAATTGCACAGCTGGAAGAGTAACTGCTGGAGAATTTGTCCAGTTCAACCAATTGTTTCTTAAAGCAACTCCCTACTAAATTGTCCACAATTTCCAGTTATATAAAAAAACACTCTTATTTTTCTGTAATGTAGTCAAGTCTGATATTCAAAATTTCATGCCGGGCCGAGCGTAGAATGGTCCACTCTACAAAGAGGTGAATTCCAGTAAGAAAACTTTAAAAAACAGGCCCCATTGTTTGACATAAACATGATGTTACAAAACGTTGCATGAGAAGAGTCTGGACCACAGATACATTTGTAAATTAAGAATTTTAAACACCAAGAAAATTTACCTGAAACACGCTGAGCAGTTACATTAACGTACGTGGGAGGGGAGTTTCCTTTCAAGTTATAAGCTGACACAGTTATGATACATATTGTCACGTCGATGTCTGTGGCAAGCCACGTGTTTTTCGTGGTGATTTTATAGGCAGGGCTCCTATAATTCTCCTTGTAAAAAAACACATTGTAATACAGGATCACCCCCCTTGCTTGGGATAAAGTCATATTCTGAAACAGAAATACAAAATCTATTAAAAATGGCTACTGATGTGCAGCACAACATGTTTAGGAAAATGTATTTATTGTGAATTCTGAGACCAAAAGAAGCAGAGAAGTTGAACAGTTGTGTATCAACAGGTTTACCACAGTTAAGAATGAATCTGTCATATGGTCTAATCAGAGAAATCTGTATATTCAACCTGGGAATCTATACTTACACTATGAAAATCTGCCCATCCATCCAGAAAATATATTCATTATTATTCTACTCATTCACTGCAAATCACAATTTTAAAAAAAGTGTGTACAACCTTCTGAAATTCTACAAATCTGCCAATTCACTCCATACACTCTACAAATCTGCCAGTTCACTCCTGACACTACAAATCTGCCAATTCACTCCATACACTCCACAAATCTGCCAATTCACTCCTGACACTCTACAAATCTGCCAATTCACTCCATACACTCTACAAATTTGCCAATTCACTCCTGACACTCTACAAATCTGCCAATTCACTCCATACACTCTACAAATATGCCAATTCACTCCATACACTCCACAAATCTGCCAATTCACTCCTGACACTCTACAAATCTGCCAATTCACTCCATACACTCCACAAATCTGCCAGTTCACTCCAGACACTCTACAAATCTGCCAATTCATTCCATACACTCTACAAATCTGCCAATTCACTCCATACACTCTACAAATCTGCCACTTCACTCCAGACACTCGACAAATCTGCCAATTCACTCCATACACTCCACAAATCTGCCAATTCACTCCTGACACTCTACAAATCTGCCAATTCACTCCATACACTCTACAAATATGCCAATTCACTCCATACACTCTACAAATCTGCTAATTCACTCCAGACACTCTACAAATCTGCCAATTCACTCCTGACACTACAAATCTGCCAATTCACTCCATACACTCCACAAATCTGCCAGTTCATTCCTGACACTACAAATATGCCAATTCACTCCATACACTCCACAAATCTGCCAATTCACTCCTGACACTCTACAAATCTGCCAATTCACTCCATACACTCTACAAATTTGCCAATTCACTCCTGACACTACAAATCTGCCAATTCACTCCATACACTCCACAAATCTGCCAATTCACTCCATACACTCTACAAATCTGCCAATTCACTCCATACACTCTACAAATTTGCCAATTCACTCCTGACACTCTACAAATCTGCAAATTCACTCCATACACTCTACAAATATGCCAATTCACTCCATACACTCCACAAATCTGCCAATTCACTCCATACACTCCACAAATCTGCCAATTCACTCCTGACACTCTACAAATCTGCCAATTCACTCCAGACACTCTACAAATCTGCCAATTCACTCCATACACTCCACAAATCTGTCAGTTCACTCCAGACACTCTACAAATCTGCCAATTCATTCCATACACTCTACAAATCTGCCAATTCACTCCATACACTCTACAAATCTGCCACTTCACTCCAGACACTCGACAAATCTGCCAATTCACTCCATACACTCCACAAATCTGCCAATTCACTCCTGACACTCTACAAATCTGCCAATTCACTCCATACACTCTACAAATATGCCAATTCACTCCATACACTCTACAAATCTGCTAATTCACTCCAGACACTCTACAAATCTGCCAATTCACTCCATACACTCTACAAATCTGCCACTTCACTCCATACACTCTACAAATCTGCCAGTTTTGCCAGTCCCCCAATACCCTATAGTCTATATATATTTTTTCCTGGCAGCCTGCTAATTCTCATTTGAGATTTTGAGAATCTCTTTATTCATCCCAGGACTCTACATTTTTGAGGCTGGAAGTCTGTCGAGTCTAATTGAGTCACTGAGAATTTGTGAATTGATGAAAATGCCCTCTTTTACTGGCAAGTCTCACTAATATACTAAAGTCAGACTTGCCGGGAATTCAAAGTGAATATCACATTTTAGACCACACTGGAAGCGTAGCTGACTTGTAGAATGTTTCCAATTCAGCTATTTTGGCATTACATTTGGAATGCAAGTATGAGTCTCTAAGAATGATCACTTTAGTATATAGTCCTGTGAGAATCTGCATTTAAGCGAGCATTTAAAGTGAATTTCAAACGTAAGGTCAAAATAACCGCATTGGGTAAAAAAAAAGTACCCAATGCTTTTCATTTTGCTACTCTGGCCTTAAATTTGAAATTCACTTTCATTTAACATTGATTTATTAAAACCCTGTACGATTTTAAGCGTGTTGTCATATAAATACCTCAAATATTAATATCTCATGTAATTCTGTTTTGAAAATACTAAAATCATACCGTCCAGAAAAGATTTATAATCTTTGTATTATCATCAACGTTCCGTAATCTGTACCAGATGTCAACCTTCCCAACTGGCACTATTTGGAAGAAAGAAAAATAAATATGTTAAAAAAATGTTTATACCCTTTTATTTAGATTTTGAAAATCCCAATATCGGTTATTTGCATATTGTTACTAAATTATCGAAAACAAATATTTTGAGGCCCTCCTTTGTACTAGTTTTATTTTATTTCCCTGAAACCTACTGTTCCTGGCAATTAAGATTTTCTTTGAAATATGGTTTACTTCCTGTGTTTGATGAATCACTAAAAATAAAGCACGCTTTACCCTACCATCTCTTAAACCTCCTCTGTCTTACCCTTCTGGGTTTTTTTCTCAAGTGATCTGCTCCTGAGGACACCAGAGAAAAATCCCCAAAAGTTATAGCACAAGACCACAATTAACTAAACTTGCATTCCGTGAAAAGAACTCTCTAGATTCACCATGGCTACTAGTCCAAATGATGTGTCTCTTTTTGCAGTGTCCTCCCCTCTCTCTAGTCCTGGCCTCTCCTCTCCTGGTTTCATACTTCCTAAAGATGGAATACAATATCTATTCTAAACAGAATTTTATTGAATTGCCTTTCCATACCTACACAAATAAGCACAAACAGCACTGAAACTTTGTATGGTTTCCTGCCCACATTTCTGCAGTTTCCCACGGTAATTTCTTTTAAACATAGCTTTTATACCAAAAGTCACCTACTCTACATAGACGACATCAAGCTGTATGCCAAGAATGAGCAGGCATTGACTCACTGATCCACCTAACTGGGATTTACAGCAAGGACATCGGAATGTCGTACGGACTAGAGAAGTGCGGGCGCATGATAGCAAAAAGAGGGAAGATGATCAGGACAGAAGGAGTTAAAGTTCCAGAAGGCCAAATAGAAGATGTAGAGAGCAGCTACAAGTACCTGGGGGTACCACAAATGCATAGCAACCATGAGGAAGAGGCAAGTAAGATAGCAACATTCAAGTGCCTCCAAAGTGTCACACATGTCCTGAAGTCCCAGCTCAATGGCATGAACAAGATCCAAGCCATCAACACATATGCCCTACCGGTCATCAGGTACCCAACTATAATAATAACCTGGCCAAGAGAAGAACTGGTCACCATGGATGTCAAGACCAGGAAACTACTCACTATGAATGGAGGATTCCATCCAAAATCCAGCACCCAGAGACTGTACACCTGCCGGAAGTAAGGAGGTCAGGGCCTGATGAGTGTCAAGGCCACAGTCCTGGATGAAACACCGAGCATCCACAAGTACATCATGAAGATGTGTTCTTGCAGTTCTTTGAGCTCAGGCTATGATGAGGGCCACTGCCCTGCTACATGCAGTAGGACCGTGGGTCCTAGGGTTTACCGGACCTCGGAGTCGCCCTTGGGTGTATGAATGGTGGGTAGTAGGAAGTACCTTTTGGGCCCTTGGCCTGAAGGAAACGTCTGCAGTCCCGACAGCTGCCTGGATCTCAGGTTTAGCAGATAAGGGAGCTTTGGTAGGTCGACTAAACTTACTGGGTTCGGTATGTTGGCTCTGGTTCCATGCACCCTGGATTGCGTATGACTGCTTACGGTGGTCCAGTTTGAACCAAAATTTTGTAAATATTGTGTCCTGTTTTGTGTCAAAGTTGGCCTGTTCAGTGGAGCATGGTGCGACACACCCTGAGTCCTCCCAATGCTGCGGGGGCTGTGGATTCAGCTTAAACGTATCATGCTGCGGCAAGGCTTCCTGCTCAGGAGTAGATAGCTTTCCCTAGTGTGGACTGGGATATCCCCCACTGGTCCAGGGGGGGTGGGACTGCGGACTCTAAATGTCACTGTGTGTCCACCGCAGCCCGCCCTGGGGCATTGCCCGCCTCCTCCAGATGCCAGGCCACGAGGCATGCTAGGCCGCATGGTCTGTTCGCGGGATCTCTCAGGTTATCGGTAATATTCGGGTATCCCTGTGTACACGCTTGTATCCCAGTACTCCTCCGGTCCTTTGGGTCCCCTATTGGGGCAGTAGTTGGAGGTTCAAGCTTGTTTTTGGTCCCCAAGTGTCGGAGCTGTTAGAGTGCACGTCCGGCCATCTTGGCAGTCAGGCCCTGCCCCCTCATTACTTGTATTTTTGTGGTAACTGGCCCAATGTTTTCTTCGTCTAGAGACCTCTCTCTTTTCTACCTGGCCAGCAGCAGCAATTTTGTGAGGATATGGCATTTTATTCTTGTTAATCGAATCCTTCTGATTTATCCTTTTCTTATTTTTGGTTTGCCGGAATTATGTTAAACCATGTATTCCATTTATACCCCAAACCAAGTGATTCAATAACAGAAGCTTTTTTTTTTTTTTTTTAAGTCTCTTAATATTTGTTTGATTTTTTTTAATGCAAAATTCTTCAGTCTTTTGTTAAGTCTACTAGAAGCAACTGTCTCTATAATTTATTTATCTATTTATTATTTACGTTTTGGGTTTAGGTTTTTAACCCGCTCTGAGGTTGTTAGATTCAGATTGAGCAAAGTACAGACAGGAAATGTCAATCACAACAAAATAACTGATTTCCCCAATGATCAAAGTCACTCTGCGAAACCAGGTGGGGAGAACAAATTCTCCTGAAATATCTGCTATTCACAAAAGAGTTTGGACGTAGCATTCCCTGGTGACCCTTTAACGAGTTCACAGGATCCTTAAAGGTAAGTCTTTGCATTGCCAGTAGGAGTGAACATAAGATTAATTGTATCACACGAAAATGAAACTTGCTAAGAATGATTTCACACCTTTTAATCCACAACCCATGACGCATCAAAAAAATAGAAAACAATGAGGCAGTTTTACATAGTGGGAAGAATGAGAATTCAAACGCAAACCGACTGCGTCAGCAAACCACAGTGGGATCTAACATATGTTAATTAAGCCTTTTATTAAAAGCATTAATGAGGAGCTGCTGTGGCATTATATTAGATAAGACAGATGCATTTTTATTTTTTAAACATAAACCTCATTTAAAAAAAGAGATGTTATTAATGCAAATCTGCTGTGGCACTAACAGAATTTTCTTGGCAATTTGTAAATGTTTAGGAAATGGTTTTTTCATGAAAAATACATTCGTATTTCTGTTATTTTCAAGTGTGTCTTGCGATTACCAAGCAGTACATTATTTTTACTAATTTAACATACGTATAGCATAAAACACCATTAGCAGATTTTAGTAATCTTAGAGAGAGAGATGATTGCACGTTAATGGAAGATTTAGTGGTTTGGCATTTACTAAAAGATTACACAAATTAAGCAATCATAAAATGAGATTTGTAGGGAAAAAGTTATAACTTTGTTTAAACCTGTTTTTTATTGTTTTTTTTTTTTTTGTTCCTTGGTAAAACAAAATGGTTATAAGTATCCTTGCACTAAAGTGATAAAATAACAAAACGTATAATAAATATTACTTAAAAAACAAAAACAAACCCCAAAACATGCTAAAATAACTCATTACTGTGAAATTTTTAGAAATGCTTACACGCTAAAACTGTTCTAATCGGTGATTAATTTTGTGCAGGAATGAAATTTAATAGCAACTTGCTATTTAATTAGTAACTCAACTTGATGCATGCAAGTCTTTTTTTTAGCCTAAAAAACTATGTAATTAAATTGCTACTAGCTCTAAGTGAAATAAAATTATAATTAGCAATTATGTTATCGATTAATTTGTTTGTCCTTTATTGGTACATGCATCCCTGTTATAGAAATTAGAAACATAGATAGAAACATAGAATGTGATGGCAGATAAGAACCATTCGGCCCATCTAGTCTGCCCAATTTTTAAAAATACTTTCATTAGTCCCTGGCCTTATCTTATAGTTAGGATAGCCTTATGCCTATCACACGCATGCTTAAACTCCCACACTGTGTTAACCTCTACCACTTCAGCTGGAAGGCTATTCCATGCATCCACTACCCTCTCAGTAAAGTAATACTTCCTGATATTATTTTTAAACCTTTGCCCTTCTAATTTAAGACTATGTCCTCTTGTTGTGGTAGTTTTTCCTCTTTTAAATATAGTCTCCTCCTTTACTGTGTTGATTCCCTTTATGTATTTAAATGTTTCTATCATATCCCCCTGTCTCATCTTTCCTCCAAGCTATACATGTTAAGATCCTTTAACCTTTCCTTGTAAGTTTTATCCTGCAATCCATGAACCAGTTTAGTAGCCCTTGTCTGAACTCTCTCTAAAGTAGAGAGTAGAGTTATATTTTGAGGTGGCATTATCCACATTTGTTGAGTTTTGAGAAAGCTGCGCAAATTGTGTCCTTAATGTAACTGAGAATGGAGAGTAGCATTTTAGGACGTGGACTTTATGTGATGTACAAACAGAAGGATTGTACACATCCACTGAAACACACACACAACAAACCGGAGTAGCGACACTACAGTAATCCAGTAAACAAGAAATGGTGTGGGCACACAGAAATCGTGTTCAAGCAGACTTTAATCAAATTAAGGCATGAGACAATGTTTCAGCTCTATCGAGAGCCTTTATTCAGTTTGGATAAAAAAATGAATAAAGGCTCGATGCAGTTGTAACTTTGTCTCAAGCCTTGATCTGATTAAAGTCTGCTTGAACACGATTCCTGTGAGCTCGAACCATTTTCTTGTTTGTGAATTTCATTTGAAGCAGGGCTGAGCTTAATGCTTTGATAGAGAGAGTGCTCACTGAAAAAATGATTATAATCTAGGCAAGAAAAATAAAGGGAACCTCTAGGTTGGAGCATTAGCCATTTCATTTTCTACCATTATTTATAAAAAAATTTAAAGTGCACCTGCCATGGGAAACCTGACTCTTGTCAATGAATAAGGTTTAAGATATTGTTTGTAAATTGTGCTAGGTCATTGTTAGAAATATAAATAATGGTTTGTATTTTTCCCACTAAGCTGTTAAGATTGTTCTAGGAATTGCGGTATGGCACTACCAACAACATTTGGGAAGGGATAGCGGCATGCGTTGACACTATGTCCATTCGAGGATTCTATTTTGCGAGAAAGGAATGATCTTCAGGTAGCATATTTTTTTATGGAATATAGCTGCTGGAGGTTTCTATAGGCTTTAGTACATCATTCTGAAGATAAATGTGTCATCCACAGAATTTATAGATACTAGTTGAAGAAAGAAGGTCCAGGCACTCCAATGATCTCTAGGCACATTTATTGCAACAAGGTGAACACCGCAAAGTTTGGCAAAGACCTATTTGTGGGTTGAAACTTTGCAGCCAAGAGAGGAGATGAAGTAAGGCATCTAGAATGTCTCACAAAGGGCAGAACTCCAGACTTCCCCTCTAGGTGTGTCCATTGGCATGCAGGATCTGTTGTTCTGAGCACAACATTCACGGTGGCAGCATGAGTCACCTCACCACAAGCTCCCTGAGGAGGTAAAGATCTATACGGGTAATAGCTGGGCTTCGGCGCCATGTTGCCACAAGTCTGTGTGCGCCAGGCCTGAAGAATGAGGCCGTCTCTCCCCACCACAACACCCACAAGACCTTATTAAAAATCT